CGATTATTTCGGATACAATTGAAGAGAGGCAAGTCGAATTATTCATTTCTGATGTAATTTATTTGGATTGGTCGACGTGCACATATTGTACACATACAAGCACATATGCTTACCGTAAATTCAATCAATTATCCTATCGAAGTGAATTAAAAAGTGAACATTTGTCCTTCGAGTTGCATCGACAAGAAGAGGAATGAAAAACAAAAGTCATCCCACAAGTCATTTACGGCAAAAATGATGCAATAGCTACATGGGAAGAAATGAAAAGAGCGTCAACCTTCAATGTCATTGAACATTCAAACACAATTATTCGACAAACAATTTTATCATTTGTGAGAGAAAAACACCTGAACTCCCACTTTAGCAATCACTTTGAACTCGTATTGACTTTCACTACGTTTTTTTTTGTAAATTTCAAACTATTTTCGGTGTAGCAAATTGATATCATAATTCATGAATGAAAAAAAAAACTGTTGATTAGATTTATTTCTGGTTTTAATTTGTTTCTCATTTCTTTTTGTTTTAATTTACAATCAATGTCAATATTAATCCAATTTCTTTGAATACACTTAAAACACAATCAGTTTGTAGTAATATAAAATCTCGTTTTTCAATTTTATTCCTTCGAATGTAAATATTTGTTCATTTTTCAACTTATCGTTCGAACAACGAAAGGAATAAGCTTTAAAACTTTTCCGATCTTGACTTATACGGATCTGCGAAGTGAATGATGACTTGAAACCTGAATTGTGTCGAGCTAACATCCGAAAATGCCTTGAAACCATGGTAAACTACTAGACAGTCTCAATCACTGAAAGTACGTTCCTTTTTCAGCATCCAATTCTGTACTACGAAAAAGTCCCATTCAAAAAGATCATTCACCTCGGAAAGGTGTGCAATGAATTTTAGCTCTAGCTCGGGTTGACTGAGCATTTTTTCTATTGATTGTTTAAAAAAATTTTTGTTGAAGTTCAAAAAACTAGTAAAAAAGGGGTCTGTTTTTGACAATGCCGTAGTTTTAATTCTTTGGTCGTAATTTTTTCTCGTGTCCTGTGATTTTCTCCCTTCTTGCATGTCTTTCACTCGCTTGTCGCATTAATACACAACGAAAAAAAAAGAATCTATCCAAAACTGGTACGCAATCCATTCAACGGAGAATTCGTTTTTTGTTCATCGGAAACACCCGTTTCTAACCGATTTCTGTGATTCAATACGCTTTTCGTTGGGTTCGTTGTGCATTGTCGGTTGTCAGTGTACGAATCGCGTAATGCATAACCCATCATTATAGTGTGTTTGGCAGAAACGAGGCTTGGGCTGACTCTTCAGCAGATTTTGTTTGACGATAGTGATGGAACAAAATAATAATAATAGTAATGATTTGGCGCAAATGGAAGGATATCGTTCTCTTCAGTTAGACAAATCGTGTCGCACAAGCTGCGTTATGAGCAGAGCAGAGCAGTGTGCACGGATAGCAAGCCATGTGTGGATTAAAATCATATTTATTCTGTGCACAAAAAAAAATTCGAACCGCTCCGTAAATCCCATACGTTTAGAAAATAGGGGATAGTTTTTTAATTTTAATTAAAATTCGTCATAATTCCGCTCTTTTTCGCATTTCGATATGCTATCGTCCAACCAAATCTACCCTTACGGCTTTTCAATGAATCTCAGCCGTTTTGGCTTTTAATCAAGCCGTTAAAAGGAATGCATCTAACAAAAACATTTCTTTGAGTCACTTTAGCCATTTCAACCTTCTTGGTCACGGTTATTCGCGCGAAAAATTTGCTAATTTAATTCTCCTCACTCAAAATGAATAAATGACAGTTTTCATACATCCAAAGCCAAGTGTGTCTATTCTTATATGATCATTGCATTTTTTTAACCTATTTTTTCTTTCCCTTTCTTATCCGCACCGTATTTTTACCTCTGAACGGTAGTCATCAGGCGTAAAAAATGCATTTGGATGATGCACATGAAAAAAAAAACAGGCAAAAGATTAAGAAAAGGTACACAAGGGTGAGATGCATTCCTTGTGCAACGACGTTATACCGTTATGCGAATAGAACGAAAAAAAAGCGAAGTCATTCGACATCGTGGTGGTATCGGAAGCGAATGACATTACCCTTATACTATATTGATTGGTAATGGAAAAAGGTGCGATAGCTTCGAAAGGGCGCACATACAAATATTTGTCTGATGTGCATCGCAAGAACAGAACCAGACACAGACCAAAATGCATTATGCAATCGAAATGATCTCCGATGACTCAACATGATTTGTGATGTTCAGTAAAACATCATACTTTTTTTTCTATCTCATCGATATATTGTTTTCTTTTCTGTCTGAATGTCTTTTTTCATCTGCGAATTCAACGATGTAACAATGTATAGGTGATTGTTCGTCGGGTGCAGTTACCACTATTTTAATTTTGTTTCTTTCACCCAATTTTCAACTACATTTTGATTTTTCACTTTTTTTGCGAGAAAAATAATCAACCCTAATCGTGTTGTTGTTTTCCAAAAAAATGGGGAAGAAATGATCAAAATCTGTCGTTTGAACAATTGAATTGAAATCGGTGCTGGTAACAGTAACGGTTTATGGCAAATTAATAAAACGAAATTCGGAGAAAAAAAAACGAGAGACGAACATATTGAACAAGGAATACGACACTAACCCGAATCGAGAGAAAAGAACTATAACCCGAACTAACTCGTTTCGCTGTTTCAAATACAAAAAAAAGGGGGTGATCAAATACAATGCATCGCTAAAATGAAATCTTTTCACTATTTTGGAAATAGCTTTTCGAAGCGATATAAAAATTGAACACTCTTTCGTGTGTGTGTGTGTGTGTGTGTGTGTGTGTGTGTGTGTGTGTGTGTGTTCATTGTAATGTTTTTGCTGCGTGTTGAATTTCGGCAATGTAATAAAAAGAGGGAAAAGGAGTGCACAGACATTATTTCGCACTAGTTACGTTGAACAATTGCATGATTTGGTTCATCGTTTTTTTTTTCTCCCGTATTTTTCGGAGAAAAAATCTGTGATTTTGAGTCAGTTAAATTAGCTATGTTTTTGTATAAATATTAGGGGTATGTGCACGAAAAATCGACTAGTTCAAAATTCGATAGATTTTTTTTTTTAACCATTTTTACACTAAACGTGACATTCTAGAAAGGATGGGTTCACCCGATCGCAATCATATGAAATCTCGACTGTGTGTTTAAAACACGTTGACAAGCAGCTGCTGCCACTGCTACTACTGTCAAAATTCGTCGTATGCAACAAAATTGTGCGCTTCGTGACAAACATATGACTCAATTGTTTCTTTAAATCAAATGAAATTTATTCATTGTGTTGCATGTTGAAAATTTGTTTACAAACCGAGTCTTCGGCTTCAATAAATAAATAAAATTGATACGGCGTTTGTGTCATGTAGAATCGTTGAAACAATTATGTGATTAAGAAAAGTTTACAAATACAATGCAATAAACAGGAGAAAATCAGGCAAACAAATCACTTGTGTCACTTCACGTTGATAATTGTTCGCGATAAGTCCATACATGACTCCATGCTATTATCGTTGAATAAACGTTTTGAATTGTACTTGTTTGGAGTAGACATATGTATCAATTACACACGCATTCCATTAAGTCAATTCATCTGGCAAGCGGTGCAAAAACTCTTACTAAATCGCAAACATAGACTGTTTAAAGAAGAATACGAAAAAAGGCAGTGTGCTTGCATTTTAAGAACGGAGTTTTATTTTTGATTGCATGTGATTTTTGCCCTTCGAATTTTCGATGTAAAATGAATTTTGCTCTGAAGGCAACAATCAAAGTGACATGTCACACGTTGCACACCATTCGAAGTTACGTCTAAGTACGCTCTCTTAAGTACTTACCGCTTCTTTTCAATTTTGCCGTTGTGTTACATTTTATTGTGTTACAGCAAATCAACGAGCGTACTTTAGATGTGTGAAACCGAATCGCATGTTATGTACTGTCATGTATATCAATGAATTGAACTCTGTTTGTATTGAGGCCAGCGTACGCACTTTCTGATAAGATTCTGTTTTTAAATCGACCAGAATTTCTAAAGTCACTTTTGGGCCCATTTCAATCGCTTGGTAACGTTCGGTCGCTGAAGTTATGAATAAAATTCAATTGCAAACCAATTCACTAGTGCATTGATGAATTTTTACTTAAATTTAATAACGAAATTAATTCATAATTATTGTAAATTAAAGCCAATTTAAGAGCGTTATTCCGTAAGTGTCATTTAGTTTAATTGAGCAAAAAACTATGCATAATTTGGAATTTTGCTTTGTAAAATTGTGCTGTTATTACCACAAGTCATCACGCGTCAAATTAAATTGTGAATATTTATTGTTAAGCAGACACCCAAGTCGAATAATAACACAAAAAATTGATATCAAGAATATTCGTTGTTTAAACAATCTTCTTAGCGTTTCCAAAAATAACTGAAAAAAGCTTTGGGAATGGGATTTTATGACCAATTCTACACGTTCGGTCGGCCCAATTTTTTCTTCTCAGTGAAACTTCTCAGTGAACTCATGATTTATGGCCTAAACTAAAGCCGGTACTTCGGTTCGAAATCAATCCAATTACAAAATATTCGGAGTTCATCGATCGCACTCATAATAATAAACAATGACGTAACCCATTGAGATAAAACGACCAAAACATCGATCCAGACAAAGTCCGTTTGATGATGACTTTGTTATTTTGTTTACTTTTCATTTATTTAGAGCTTCTGGTGCGCAAACACGAAAAAATGGAGCAACAGTAAATGAAAAAAAGAACATTTTTATCTCAAAGTGGCAAATATGATCGCGTGGCGATACTAGAAAATCGAGTATTGAGATATAGAGCGATACTCATTTGAGTTTCATTGAAAATCAATTGATATTCAAGTTCATTCTGATAGTTCTATTGCATTGCAAGAGAAAGAGAATATAATCGAAATGTAGTCGTTTCGAACACGTATTCAATTGAATGCTGTGCTCCAATATACATAATAGTGTTAATTGATTTATGAAAGCGAGTGATTGCAGAAATAAATCAGATGTAAAAAGAACAAAACTGCAGACGCAAAAAAAAACATACAACTAGTCATATGTCGCTCGTTAACCTGTAGCCACTCGTGTGAACGAGTTAAATCATGGGACTTTGACATTGCTGTTTATTCAAAACAACAAACAAAAGACAAAAAAAAACAAAACGCGAATATTACAAACAACAAAAACAAACGATAGAAACGAAGAGAAAAAAAAACTAACCCAAAAACTGTATAAAAGTGAGCGTATTAAACGGCGCTCGATGTAAATACATACGTATGTATTTATACATTGGCACGAAATTCAAATGATGAAAATGTGTGTGCGACACAACGGAACATTGTGCTTGCTGAATGCAAGTCCGAAGTGCGTGAATTTCACTGTGCGCGTGCTATGTGTTTGCTATCGTCCAAAAACGATTCACATTGACACATAAAGACAAGTAAAACCGCTCACGCATACGCCTTCAGTGTGAATGTATCACTCGTTTGAATAGAATTGGAGAAAAAAGGCACGTCACACCCATACACAGGCATCAACAGAACCAGAATAAACATGAAACACACACGAAACACAAAACCGCACGCTCGGGCTATTGTGAAACAACTGAAAAATATTCCACAGCAACGCTTAATACATGTAGAAATGCGTGGATCATACTACTGCTGTTCGCTGCTTTGATCTGTCGAATGCGGCTTTCTGTTCTGTGTGTGCCTGCAAACGTTGGTTAGCTATCTAAAACTCTGACTGTGGCCCGTTCGTGTGAATAAATTTATGCAAACATTGAAACTATGTATAGTAGTCGAATTTGAACTATCGACTTGTTCGGGTCGCAATACGGTTTTGGGAATTAGAATTCGTTGCGCTTTTGTGAGTTTGTTCAAGTTTTTGTTTTGTTATAATTACTCTGTGTTAATTCATCGTTAATTATTCAGAGAGAGAGAGAGAGAAAAAATGTAAGTGATTTTTTTTTGTATGGTTTCGTTGGCCAAAAAAATACGTACCAACCAACAAGTAATTTCCAACTACTAATCAATTGATCAAATTTCGTACGGTATCGTCTGGCGTAGTGCGTTTCTTTTTTTCGTCTGTTGTTTGTTTCGTGTGTGTTGAACTAAACGGCGCCCATTATGTACGACGTTTGTTTGTCATCTTCGTCGAACGGAATATTGTTTAAATAAAGCAATTTTCTCTTTTTTCTCCGCATGAGATAATCACATCTCAACCGTTTGCAAATTGATGACAAATGATAACGTGACTGCGTTTTTGCCAGTGATTCGCATTCAATTCGAAATTAACATGAAGCTACTAAAAAGCCACAAAATCATTTAATTTCGAAAAATGAAATTAATGCCATTGTTGGACCTAACGACAGCTGTTAATTGATAGCAGCTCATGTCATATGTTATTGTGTTAAACGCATCCAACAATATTGTGACATTTGCGTATCAATGGCTTTAGTTCTGTATTAGTGCCGATTGAACCGGAATTTTTGGCATTTTCATATGCATAAATTCGGGACAAAAAGGTTAGAACCAATTCAAAAACAATTGTTGAACCGCATATGTGCACATTGATAAAATGTTGCAGTAATATCCATGTGACTGTATCATGTTCATTCACCAACCACATGGTTTTTTCGGCTAATATTAGCTCAAGTGTTTTTTTTTTCATTCTTTCTTTTTTATTGAAATGACAATGTGACACACGCGGTTTTGTGTAACATGATCGCAACTTTATTTCCATTTCTTTTTCGTTCTTTTCATTTTGAAACGGTATGGACAAAATATTACATCACGGTTCCGCAACATTGACAGACTCCTCGTTTGCAATTCTAAGAGCATACAAAAAAGAAACATAGCAGAAGCAGTGAACTAAAAATAAACTCTTTTCGCAGCGCATGTTAGAAACATGTGATAGCTCTTGACCGCATCGCGTTAAAAACAGCTCCGTGTTTCGAATTAATGTAGCAGACATTGTGAAAAGGAAATAGAGTGAAAAACCAGTTTTAAGCGAAAAATTCAGACTATTCTTTGCAATTGATACCAGTTCTTTGATTCTTCTTCGAATTTACGATAAAAATCAAAGGCATAATGTATTGACAAAACAATCAAAGTTCAAAGTGCGAACGATCGAATACATTAAACAAACATTGTAAATATATGTGAATGAGCGTCAGTTTTGGCATGAGCGTGCGCCCGCATTTCAAGCATTCCGCATACGACAATCGAATCGTTATCAATCGCAGAGAAAGCAAATTTTAGAATATGCAGTTCCCATGCCGACCGATACCACATTTAAATTGTAAATTTAAAACCGGACTGCCTTTCAGTCGACTAGCTGTTAAGCAATACAATTTATAATCGCTAGTTATTTTAATGTGCATTCTAGAGAGAATGCATGGCTTCTGCTCACTTCTTATTCAATTAGAGTTGTGGGCAATAAAAGAGTGCATTAACCGCAGGGATCGATATAAGTGATATTGCAACAACAACAAAAAAACAGCGGCGATAGAGCGAGAGAGGAAAAAAATCGAAAAAAAAATACTGTAAATTATGGCTTTATATATTCTTCATATATAATCGGAGATAGGCCATAAAATAAGTAACAAAAATTACCTTATTCCGTGATAACATGCCATGTTTGCATTCGTTACGTATGCGCATAGCCTGAATTAGGCATGCTCATCATTTTGTTTGCACAAAGCAGCACGCATTTTTGACTTAATGATGACCTATTCAATAAAATGAAGAGAGAAAAAAAAACAGTTGAAAGAATGAATGAAACAAGACAAAAAAGGCTCGTACAACTGAACTAGAAACGTTTTTTTCTTTCTATTCTCTGTATTTTTCGTTGTTGTTTGTTGTCTGGGCTTATGAATTTTTAACGTTCGGTTTTTTTTGTTTCTGCTGAAAGTGTAGAAAAACGAATATGCGATTTGGTATGTGTTACGTTCTCATTCCGCGAGAATGACGGTTTGGATGTTGCGATGAAATACACACAAAGGAAATTTCAATTCAATATTCACAAGAAGAAAAATAATATTGAATATAATTTTCCGTTGAACGGACTGCCGACGCTTCGGCTTCGGTTTTTAAACAATGCAACAGACATGAGGAGTGACAGAGACAGCGAGTCAATGCCATTTGGATACTAAATATGTATTCACAATTTTCACTTTGGGCTGCGCACACTTCAATTTGCTTTATATGCCGACCGCAACAACGATCGACGACGATGATGTCGACGCCGCTTGTGTGTTTCAAAGTACAACCGATTAAATCTATTACAATGTGATATAGAAATGAATACATTTTCATACACGATTCCTTTATGAATTTTCGCGTTTCAACTGACCCAACACAGATGGATACGTGTACAGTTGGCATCGCGCAATGGCCGGTTCCATACGAAATTGCTTAACAATTCGCAGGTTCTACGATTCACTGATGAATTGATATTTCGTTTTGATTTGTTTTATTTGTATTTTGTCTGAAAAAAGAGTGACAATTACTTTTAGTGACTTATTGTATTCACAGGTTGTAAATATTATTCGAATTGACAATGTGAATGCTAAAAGTTTTTTTTTTTTTTTGTTAAATTCTGAAACAATTGGTTTAACGCGCGCGCCACTGATTTAGGTGAGAATAAAAAAAAATTTGATCGCCCAGTGACGGAATTCATGTTCAAACAAAAAAAAGGTTCTAAAATCAACGTGATTCGGCAATAAATCATTTTTACATGATACGAATGCACTGGCAGTGAGTTTTGACATGATTTTGATGGTTTTCACCTGCTCAAGCCAAGCAAACGGCAAAAAACAAACCAGTTTTTTTTAGTATGTCAGCCCAGTGAAGTGAATATAAAGGTCATCAGAGATGTGAAAACTGAAATTTTAAACTTATTTGTTTTACATCTGTTTCCTAGCTGTTTGTTATTGGTGCTGTTGCTGGTGCTGAGGTGGCATCAGCACTTATTCTAATGAGCAGTTGAAATGATAATCAAATGATTTGTTTTTTTTCTCTCTTTCAATTCTATTTTGCATTTGTTTGCAATGTCATTTACAGCATTTAAAATGCATCCGTAATAAGCTTCACATTTTCAATTAATTATCATTATCAACACACAAACGCGTATTGAATTGCAATTCAAACTGACATACATTCGTATGAATATATATTCCACTGTGTGATCTGTGAATTATTATTTTTTATTGAGTTTTTGGCGTCATCTTGATGTTTAACAATGGCAAACAAAGAGAGCAAAGTAAACTGATTCCATGCACATTGTATTTCATTCCATGCAAATAAATTATTTCACGGAAATCATCACTTCTTCTTCACTCATGTTATTGTGTGTGTGTGTGTGTGTGTGATATAATTGAGATGGTGTGACAATAATTTAGTGAAACGTTGAAATTGTACGCATTTGTAGGAAAAAACGGTAAATCTAATCAAATATGGGCATACAAATCATTTCCACGATTTGGTTAGGCTATCGCGTGCCCAACGTCCGCATTCATACAGTCAATTAAGGCTTATGTAATCGCGCACCCACTTCATTTCATAAACACGCCAAACACTGGGGGAACTGATTTGAACGAAGTGATAATTTTTTCTATTTTTTTTTTCAATCTTAAACGTTCAATCAAACAATTAAAAACTGAATTGAAGTTTTAACTTTTGTTAAATGCAGATCTGTCAATTTATGCCATAGAAACTGTTTACGAATTGTTCCACCTTCACTTTAAATCTTGATTTATTTGTTTGCACACGTTCTGATGTTATTTCTCTCTATCACACACACACTCTCTTCCTGCCTTTCATGCCTATGACAAGGTCAGCAGATGATATTTTCAGATCCATTTTTACAGTCATGCAACATTCTTATCACCAACAGTTTTATCATTTGCGCACCCAAAAACAAACATTTAAAAAAAGAAGAAGCGGGAACTTGCAATAAGCCTTACATTCTTGGCTCAAAATAAAATCGAAACAGATCAACAAAATAAATATATTTGACCAAACAGTTGATCAGTTGATCAATTTGCATTGATATTCAAAGCAAATATTTTTGACGACATGTGTTGTTATGTTATTTACATGAAAAAAAAAATTCCAAGTGAAATGGAAATGTGTGTGGCAACTCTATTGATAGATTAGAACTGAAATGCCAACAGGCAAATGTCTATTATCCAAATGCTAGACGTAGAAAAAGGAAAGAAAATAAAGACCGACAAAAATATCGTGTTTTTTTTCGGGAAATATGATTCGAATAGAGATGACCTCGTGACCAGAATAAACGCGTGGATGACGTCAAATACATAAAAACTACCGACACCGCTCCGTCTTCCAACTATTTAACACTTTGTATTTCGATACAGCATGACGTCGTTGGCTCATTTCTAGATCAAAACACACAAAAAACGCAATTCGTGCGTGGATTGAGAAAGAAAGTAAATAACGTCGAAAGAGAAAGAGAATTTTTTCCACATTCGAATGGCGCTTGTTGCTATCATCTTTATTACGCACGCACATGTCATGTGCCACCGAAAACGAAATGTCACTGCATTGTTCATCAGTTGACTTTTTTTTGCGGTATGGAAAATATCGCATTTTACGTTGAGAATTGTGAGGGCCGGTGCTCAGCAATCTATCCAATGATGTTACGTATTAATCGTGTGATCGCCCGGGTTTTTTTTCTTTTCAAAGAAAGTTACATTATTGATAAATTTGATGAAATCTTATCACAAATTGAGTTTGTGCTACGTTAATTTGACAATCACGAACGGAATAGAAAAAAAAAGTAAAATCAAACAACCTAACGAAAGACTAACAAATATTTAAATTTTTCTACGGCCGTGTGTGCTGGTGGCATGACAAATGAATGGTTTTTGATTTACAATACACTAACTGCCGTTATGATTACGTTTGTATCGCATGTCTACTATTCGGCTGGAAATTTTGGTTTCATTCAGTCGGTGAACAGCGACTGAGACGATGATAATTTTGTATCTAGTAAACAGTCGCAATCAAAGTTTCAACTAAACAACATGCTTTAGCAACAGTTTGAATTTCATTCTGACTGTTTTGTTATTGAACATTGTTTATTTTTGGTTGACTGCTTTAGTGAGCTGCTCATTCATTGTGATTCTTTCTAAGTTGATTTTTTTTGTTCAAAATTATGATTGTTTCCGTGTTCTTAGCGCCAGAAATCTTTTCACATGAATCGAACGACGAATAGAAGATTTAATTGGCAACCATTTCTTTTACCTTTTTGTTTCAGAAGCACATAAAAAAACAGAAAACTGAATTTGCATAAGGTTTAAGAAGCCCACACATCAAAAATGACGGAGGCTAACGACAAACAGGCGGTTCCTCATGCCAATGGCAATACGGAAGAAATCACACCGTGAGTTTTCAGGAATTTATTCGATTACATTTTTTTTGGCAAAGAAACGATGTTTTATTAAAGTGAAAATTTGCTGATAAAATCATTAGATAACCGATTTATTCCGGATCATACCATACGAAAAGAAAAGCAGACCACACCATAAAGAGTGATTGAATTATGATGTTTCCAAGAATAACTTATCTTTCTATTTACTTTTTCTTTCTCTTCTTTTTCGTTAATAGCATAACATTGCCAGTTAGAAAATTATCATGTTGGAGCCGATTTAAGCTGTTTTTGGGTTTATACTGGAAATCTATGGTTGTGTGTATCACTCCGTTTGCCCTACTTCCGATTATTCTTCTGAACGATATACCTGTGAGTGATATGACTGTTTGACTTGTGAACTTGTTGTTATCGATTTGTATTTTTTGTTGTCGACTTTTACTACGATGTTATTGATTGACCTATCCTCGTGATTGGATTCCCATGTCCATTCAATCGATTTTTTTGTTTTACTCATAATTGAACTATTTCCGTTTTTTCAAACAGCAACATCGTTGCATGTACGTCGTCCTATTGATGACCATCTTCTGGTGTAGCGAGGCCCTCCCATTGCCAGTCACCAGCATGTTGCCAATTGTTCTATTTCCAACGCTAGGCATTCTGGTAAGTAGAATGGAATGTGTTTGGCGTCATTTATTTCATTTTTGTTTTTTACAACTCAATCGATCAATTGATTTAAACAATTAATTTTAATTTAGGAAACTGACAAAACATGCATGATGTATATGAAAGATGCGATGCTGATGTTCATTGGTGGCCTGATTGTCGCATTGGCTGTGCAATACTGTAATTTACATAAACGTGTCGCATTGAAAGTGATTTCGATCATTGGATGCAGTCAGCGAAAGTGAGTGCATTGCAATTTCTATGATTAATTGCATTGTTTCAATGGATAATTAATTGAATGAATTCGGCGCATGTGCCATTTTTAGATTGAATTTCGGTTTAATTGCCGTCACCATGTTCGTAAGTATGTGGATCTCGAACACTGCTGCCGTTGCTATGATGATTCCAATCATGCAAGCCGTTTTAGAGGAGCTTGAATCGGTACGTTTGGCTGTAGAGACATAAACTATAGGGCAATTAATTGCAATTTAATCATTTTAAAGACAAAAATAATCAATTAAATTTGTTTTTTGATTTGCAGCAAGGACTTTGCAAAATGTACATTGACGACCAAAAAGCCGAAGAGGAAGGAATGTTGAACAAGAAACCAGAAGAAAAAACGCTGACCGACAAAAAACCAACCAAAATTACTGTATGCTACTTCATGGGAGCCGCATATGCCGCTTCGATCGGAGGCTGTGGCTCGGTGGTCGGATCTGGAACCAATTTGGCCTTTAAAGGCATTTACGATTCATTGTTCCCTGATGACGAGATAGACTTTCCGAATTGGATTATTTTTAATATTCCAGTTATGTTAATCAATACATTCGTCACGTGGGCGTACCTGCAATGGTATTTCATGGGTATGTGGCGTCCAAATAGCAAAGAAGCCAAGCAATTCCAGTTGGGTAAAGATGGTGAAGAAGTTGCACGTCAAGTCATCGTTAAGCGCTATAATGAATTGGGACCGATCTCACAACAAGAAATTCAAGTTGCAATCTTGTTCTTGCTCTCGGTAGCATTATTCTTCTTGCGTGCCCCAGGTAATTTACGACTCGCACATGCATACACATTACACACTCAACGTATTCAATGTCAATGCATAAATGAAATTTCGGTTTTTATTCTTTATTTTGCGTAGGATTCATTACGGGATGGGCTGAATTGATTACAAAAACAAAAATTGGCGACGCGACGCCGGCTATTTTCATTGTGATTGCATTATTCATGTTACCGGCCAACTGGAACTGGCTAAAATTCTTCACTGGAAAACCGGACGACTTGCCAAAAGCAACAACGCCCAGTTTAATCACATGGAAATACATTAACTCAAATGTCCCGTGGTCATTGATCTTTTTATTGGGCGGTGGTTTTGCTCTGGCTCGAGGTGGAAAAGAATCTGGAATGTCAGCAATGTTGGGCACATATTTGTCCGGTCTTTCCGACTTACCTTTCTTGCTATTGCTTTTCGTGATCTGTTTATTTGCACAAATATTCACTGAATTCGCATCGAATGTTGCTATTGCTAATGGTAAATTTATTCGTTGTTCATACTAAATTTCCATTTATTTCGTTCAATTTATTAATGATGATGATGTGATTTGAAATTGCAGTTATGTTGCCCGTCCTCGCTGAAATGGCACTTCAAATGGAAGTACATCCACTCTATTTGATGTTCCCTGCAGCTCTATCATGCTCAATGGCCTTCCATACGCCAGTCGGCACACCACCAAATGCTATCGCCGCCGGTGTCGCCAACATTGGCACTAAAGATATTGTAAGTTAACAAAATCACCTTTGTTTCCATCCAAAAAGTCTAATCATCGGAACATTTATATATAATATTTTAGGCAATGGCTGGTATTGGACCATCGTTAATTTCATTGCTTACAATTTGGTTGTCTTTCCCAACTTGGGGCCTCATTGTTTATCCAAAACTTACCACTTTCCCCGCGTGGGCCAGAGCAATGGCCAATGCCACAAAATTGGCAGCTCCAGTGGTAGCCGCAGCCATTCCATCGAGCGGCAGTTTACAAATGTTAGCCAATGCCACGAATGCAGTTGTGAATGGAACCGTACATTAAATCAACTATTTAGCATAAATGTCTTTTCATTTTATTTTGCTAGATCGATGGAAAAATCAACAAACACAGATTGTAGCAGTTTCATTTCCGTATTTAGACATTTATACATTTAATTTTAGGACAATCGGACTCGATTTACATTCGATCATTCATTTGTCGTTTAGCTAATAGTTAATAAGTTGTGAATGATATTTACCGAATTGGGTGAAGAAGAAATTCTCTGATTTCGGTTTTGTTGTGCAGTAGAGCCTCATATTGTCAGAGAAAAGAGATCTTTTTTTTTGTTTGAACAGCCAAAATGAAACAAATATGCCAAGATTACATATCTAACATTTATTCTGTTCTCTTTTGTTCATAGCTGATATGAATTTTTGTTTGTTGGCGATTTTTTTTCTTTTTTTCCCAGCACTTCATTTTTGATAACCGAATCCATAAAATGTGTCAATTAAAAACAACAATACAACGTGATCAAAATAGGCAATATTTTTTTTAGATGCATTTTAACAGAAGAAAACAAATCGTACAAAATGAATGGAAATGAAACCTTGAATCAAAACATTGTAACATTAGCAATAACTCGTTAAAAAGAAATCAAAATGTTTAATTAATTTTTATTCTTTTTAAGATACTATGAAACGACGATGTTTATGTAAAAACGAACAGATATTTATGAATAAAAATCTGAATGTTTATTTTTCAATAAAATCAAACTGGTGTCCATTCATATTGTGTGATGAGCATATCTAATGAGTACGGTAAAAAAAATGCGACTTTATTGGAATACCTTCAGTGTTGGATATTTGATGTCAAGTTCAAATTATGTTCAATTTTATCATTCATTTTTTTTCACGTTATACAATTGGCCTCAACAACAGTACGAAATAGGTTGCATTTTCGGAATACAGCAAACGGATTGATACTATTTGCATACCTTCGGAAAATGTAATTATGATGATTCTCGCTCGTGCAAACAGTTTATTTAACTCATTTGTTATCTATGTACCAAGGTGATACGGAGTATAAACGACACTTTAGTGTGTTGATTCACTGACGAAAAAAACCCTATGAACATATTTCATAATCATTTAGTACGAAATTAACATGCGGACAGAATCAAATAAAGTTAATTATATCATTATCATTTTGCCGTCTCACGTGCGACTCCAGACCATTTCAACATATATTCACAATGTAAACAGAGTGTACCGTTCTGTATCGCTCGTCACCAAATTTTTTTTTTCTGGCGCATTCTGTCACGTTTCAATTACTCATTCAAAATATTCACACAGTGTTTTTCACTTTTCATAGTAATCATGCGGTGGAATAATTCAAAAGAAAGGAAAACGGAGTTTCATCTGGATTTGTAGAAGAAAAATTCATCAACAACGAAAAAAATTATTTTCAAATGCAAATTTGAATCAAAATTGTTTAATCAGTAGTCAACATAACAAAAACAAAACATGTTGATATAGATGTTGTACATCTATACAGAGCCGGTCAAGCTTTGAACGCATGCATCAAATTCATTGTGATACCGTTCGTCGAAGAGATAGAGGTAGAGAGAGAGAGAGAAAGAGAGAGAGAGAGAGAGAGAGAGAGAGAGAGAGTGAAGGTGAATTGTTAGACCAACAATGTTGGTGTAACTCAAAACCGTTCGACTTTAGAATGTGACGCGACATTTGCACTTGTGTGTGTAGTTCAAACCACAGAGTGAGTGACAGAAGAGCCATAACAGAATTGTGCACTTGAGGTTTTGGCCATTGGATGCTGCACGTGTTGTTAATTTGTTTTAAGAAAAATTTTGCTCACCGCCTATTTTGTTTGTTAAAAAATACCAATAATCGGCTTTTCAATTGTATATTGCGGAAAGAGAAACAATCATATCACATCACAGTAAGGTAAATTTTGATTTCAATCTGAAAGCAATTGATTAAAATCAATCGTTTGAATAGAAAGAGGCAATAATAAGTTCACATTTATACATTCGCAGTGAGCCACACATTTCATCACCGTCTCAATAATGGAAAACGCACCAGAGGTTTTGTTGTTAAATCCAAGGCCAAACGATTACTTATCGTTGCTGAATGAAAGAGAATTGGTGAACATTTTCAAGCATCTGGATTTGTATGAACTTTTGCAAATCAGCGAGCTCGATGTCAACTATCAACGGATCATTGGCGAACGCATCATCTCCAAGCAAACGCTCGATGTCAGCAAAGTCAGTAGACACTACGACACTCGTCAATTATTCAAACAATTTGGCGAGTACGTGACCGATTTGAAAGTGCACGAGTCTGACATCCAGTATAAAGACGATCAATACACATTCATTGAGGAGATATTCCGATTGATCAACAAGCGATGCACCGTTGGCCGTCTCAAATCAATCTCAATTGGTCTCAACAGAGAAGCTCAGCACATGATTCGCACTGTACCAAATGTGTTCTGCGAGATTTCATCACTTTCCGTGTATGGCGATTATTTCGGGCAGTTGAGTAATCTATTGGAACAGGTGATACCCAAATGTTCGAAACTTTGTTCATTGGAAATCACTCGTATGTCCGGAAATTGGAATTTCCTCATAAGTCCACAGCTACAAATGCTACAAACGCTGGAAATTAAATACTGTCAAATCCCCCATTCTGTCTGGGCCCATTTCATCCGAATCGGTATTCAATCGTTGACCAGTTTGGTCATCAAACAGAATGCATTCTCGTTCGATGAGCCAGAAACACCGATGGAAAAAGTGACCAGAACATGGTTAGCCAACTCAATTGGAATTAAATTTCCGAATTTAAAAGAACTCGTTTTAATAAATTGCCATCCAGGCCTCTTATTCGATGGAAGTAAATTCACACAACTTGAGAAAATTTCATTCAATGCCAGGGGAATGTTATTCATTTCAGACAGCATCAAGTACATGACAAATTTGCGCTCTGTTGAATTTTCGGAATATAGTACGATTTCTGTATTCGAAGATTTCCTACAGCTTCCATTGCTCAGTGAGTTCATATTGAACGCACACGACATCGGTGCAAATGTGATCACGGCAATTGTTGCAGCCTCGCGTTATCTGCGTGTTTTGCGCCTCAATTCACGAAAACCCAGGATTGCATGGACGCTTTATAACGAACTTGTGATCGAACGAGCAACCCGTTGGCCAGACGCACCACCACTGCATATGTACGCAAGATTCAAGGATTTTCAGCGCCACAAACCAAATGTCATCACCATTCATAGAATCAATTGAAAGAAAACTTCATTTCGTCGATACACACAATTCTACTTTTTTTCTTATTTTTTTTTTGTCATTGTTCAGATTTATTGTTCGAAGGAATTTCATTGATAAGATATGTGAAAGCAAATGTATTAATTGTCATTGAAAATCAGAACAACCTAGAATATGAAATCATCGCCTACACAAATACCTGAAAATGAAGTGATATATGTATAAGAGAGTCCTAATTAACCTGGCCCACAATTGATGAAAATTTCCGTGAAATATTAAATTCATCAAAATTAAACTAAAATCTCGTTGATTTTTCATTTATATGTGCTTCTTGACTTTTATTTGTTGAAAATTCGTTTTCAAACGACATGTCACCAGTCATAGCATCACATTTATTTCCGATATCTTTTTTTTCAGTTTAAATCAATCAAGTTTATTGTAAACGTCCACTCTTCTTGATGCAAATAATTGAGTTTCCCTGCGAGTCTTACGGACACTGTTTAGATCTGAAAAAAGAAGATGAATAAGATAAGTAATTTTTTTGTCACTAAAAGATCGTGTTTCAAATCGAACCCATTTCGTAGAATAAAATTTCTTCAGCAATTCCTGCTTTCGCTTGGATGTCTCCGGTCGGATCAACAATTAATGAATGGCCATAGTTCACATAATTGAGTTTCTCATCACGTGCGGGGGATACGGCAGCCACGTAAAGTTGATTTTCATTCGCACGGGCACGATGAACGAGCTCAAAAGATTTTGTTCCACAGTACACGTTGTAAGCAGCCGGAATGAATAGCACGTCACAATCTTCGGAAGTGGATGCGAAATGTATAAAACGGTTGTGAATGGTCTATAATGTTCAAAACAACTCACTAGATTTCGTGTACATTTTGATAAATTCGTCAAACCAGGCATCGAAACAAATCGCAACTCCGCACTTAATTCCATTTACTTCAAAAGTGGTCATGTCGTTTCCGGGCGAAAATCGATTCACTTCAACAATTTCAACTCCATTGTCATAATGACAGTTACACAAATGAACCTATGAACGAAACAACTTAATTTTCAGTTTGATTCTTCAGCGGCTCTATTTCCTTTCACTTGCCTTTCGATGACGTGCAATCAGTTCACCGTTTGAATTCCAAACAGTCGATGTATTGTACATTTTGTCACCATCTCGTTCAACAATTGAACCACCCACTATGTAAACGCCAAATTTTTGGGATAATGTGGAGAAAGTGCGACAGATTTGACCATCCTCAATGGTTTCTGCTACACTTTCGAGGAACGGAACGTCAGTATTGTATTCAGTGGCAAAGCATTCGGGTAATGCAATTATCTGCGGTTGATGTTCTTTAACAGCTTTCTCAACCAATTCTTCCAAGTGGATTATGGATTTGGCCACATTTTCTTGCGAAGCAAACTGCAGCAAACACACTCGTAATTCTGAAATGTTAATTGTTTAAATAAAACAAAAAACGAATTCATTGCGATTGATCTCACTTGTATTACTCGAAGTCATCGTTTGGACGTTTGAATATAGGAGCGTTCGCACTTGAAACCCATCTGCATCTGAGGTTTAAACTTAAGACTTAAAGCTTTATTTATTAACTCAACCTTCACACACACTCAATTTCCTGTGCAAATATATTCGATTTTATTTCAATACGGCTCAACTTTGGACTGCTCCGATATGGAATAAAAGAGTATATGTTCACTCTGTCGAGTTCACTTGTACATGCGCAAGCTTGCGAATTACCTAGGGGGAAAGAACTATTGGTATATTTACTTCATTGACACGTATTGACAAATATTCACAGGCATTTGCACTGCGTTCCGTAGTGTTATTGTTGTTATTTTCTTCTGTTGCTTCGTCTCGTTCGTGGCGAGCAGGAATGACAGTTGCAAATACGCACATTTTATTGACCATATTTGCATGCATTCGCAGCTAGTTATTCAGCGCATTGACACGTATTGACGCGTATTGATCCAAATTCGGTAGAATATGCGATTATTTACAATATTTATATTTTCATTTACTCAGTTCTTTTCCCCTAGCGAATTACGCCATAATAGAATAAACACATACACACATTAGCTTCAGTGTGGTATTACCCTGCATATGCTCTGTCTGCTTAATTTCTGTATGATGCGCAATATATTTGAACGGGAAATTGAGTGTGTTGATATTTAAAATCAGACCTGACATATCGCTCATTTAAAACAATGATATCACCGTTATTTGTGTACAATGCGAAATGTTATCTAAGGAGATTTTCTATTCGCAACATTAAAAGTGAACTCTCGAAATTGAGCCAAGAATTTTTTGAGTGCGATTATGTATTTTTTATTAAAATTCTTTATCAGAGAAATTGTGAATTGTTTACCAAAACACATTATCATATCAAAACTCATTCAATTGAAGCGATAAAAAGAACAATCAATCTTGTTTTTTGTAAACGTCCAATCTCCTTGATGCAAACAGTGGAAGCTCCTTACGAACTGTGTGAACAACATTCAAGTCTGCAATAAAAATGACATAGACTTTTAGCTATTTTGAAACATATGTAAGAACATGAATAAAATCGAACCCATTTCATAGAAGAGAATTTCTTCAGCAATTCCTGCTTTGGCCTGAATATCCCCATTTGGATCGACAACCATCTGATTAAAAAAAAAACGAATTTGTTTCTCTGTTAGTAGTGGAAAAATCGATATAACCGTATTTTCAAACTTCAGATCTTACAGAATGGCCATAAATCACATAATTGTGTTTCTCATCACGTGCGGAGGATATGGCAGCCACATAAAATTGATTTTCACTTGCGCGAGCACGATGAACAATTTCCCAACTTCTTGGTCCAATTGAAATACGCTCATAAGCCGCTGGGATAAATAACACCTCACAGCCTGTAAAATAAGTAAAAATTGAATAGGAATTGTTCAAAAAAAAAATTGCGTTCATCAAAACAGCTCACCAGCTTTCGCATACATTTTGATGAACTCTTCAAAAAAGCCATCGTAACAAATTGCAACACCGCACTTAATTCCATTCACTTCAAATGTGGTCATATCGTTCCCGGGCGAAAATCGATTCACTTCAACAATGTCGACTCCGTTCTCATAATGAATGTCACACAAATGGACCTATAAACAAAACCACTAGACTTCAAATTTGAATTTTTAGCTACTTTTTTTCACTTGCCTTTCGATGACGTGCAATCAGTTCACCGTTTGGATTCCAAACAGTCGATGTATTGTACATTTTGTCACCGTCTCGTTCAACAATTGAACCACCCACTATGTAAACGCCAAACTTTTTGGACAATGTGGAGAAAGTGCGACAGATTTGGCCATCCTCAATGGTTTCTGCTACACTTTCGAGGAATGGAACGTCAGTAATGCACTCAGTGGCAAAGTTTTCAGACAATGCAATTACATGGGGTTGATGTTGATTAACAGCTCTCTCAACCATTTCTTTCAAATGGATCATAGACTTGGCTACATTTTCTTGCGAAGCAAACTGCAGCAAACACACTCGTAATTCTGAAATGTTAATTGTTTAAGTAAAATAAAAAATGAATTCATTGCGATTGATCTCATTTGTATTACTCGAAGTCATCGTTTGGACGTTTGAATATAGGAGCGTTCGTACTTGAAATCAAGCTGCATCTGGGTTCTGAACCTTAAATAACATTGTTAATTAATTCAATCTTATCATTTAAATTCAGACAGGAAATATCGCTTCGTCATTAAAAACAATGATAACATGGTTTTTTGCGTAAGTGATATTGAATTTTTATTCAAATTCTTTCTCAAAGAAATTATCAATTGTTTACCAAAAAAACATTAAAATAATTATAGCAACCGTATCAAATTAAAACACAATCAATTCAAGCCATAAGAAATGTCGTTCAAGCCATTTTATTGTAAACATCCAATCTCCTTGATGCAAACAATGGAAGCTCCTTGCGGAAATTGTGAACAATATTTAGGTCTGTAACAAAAAATGGCATAGATTTTAGTTTTCCTCCGAAAGGTATGTAAGATAATAGCTAGAATCGAACCCATTTCGTAGAAGAGAATTTCTTCAGCAATTCCCGCTTTGGCCTGAATATTTCCGTCCGGATCAACGACCATCTGATTCAAAAAAACAAATTTGATTCTCTTATATAGTAGTGGCAAAATCGATATAACCGTATTTTTCAAACTACAAATCTTACAGAATAACCGTAATTGACATATTTATGTTTTTCATCGCGTGCGGGGGATATGGCAGCGACATAAAATTGATTTCCACTTGCACGAGCACGATGAACAATTTCCCAACTCCTTGGTCCAACTGAAATACGCTCATAAGCAGCCGGGACAAATAACACCTCACAGCCTGTAAAATGGGTAACAATTGATAAGAATTGTTTAAGAAAAAACTGCATTTATTAAAACAGCTCACCAGCTTTCGTATACATTTTGATGAACTCTTCAAAAAAGCCATCGTAACAAATAGCAACACCGCACTTAATCCCATTTACTTCAAATGTGGTCATATCGTTTCCAGGCGAAAATCGATTCACTTCAACAATGTCGACACCGTTCTCATAATGGATGTCACATAGATGGACCTATAAGCAAATGCACTTGTTTTCTAGTTTGACTCTTTAGCCATCTAAATTTTCTACTTGCTTTTCGGTGACGTGCAATCAATTCCCCGTTCCGATTCCAAACTGTTGCTGTATTGTAAAATTTGTCACCATCTCGTTCAGCAATTGAACCACCCACTATGTAAACGCCAAACTTTTTGGACAATGTGGATAAGGTGCGACAGATTTGACCATCCTTAATTGTTTCTGCTACACTTTCGAGGAACGAAACCTCGCAATTATACTCGGTGGCAAAGCATTCGGGCAATGCAATGATATGGGGTTGATGTTGACTAACGGCTTTTTCAACCAACTCTTCCAAATGAATCATAGATTTGGCCACATTCTCTTGCGCTGCAAACTGCAGCAAACACACACGTAATTCTGAAAATTAACTTATTTGTAATGTTGATTGAAACAAATTTATTCTGATTGACCTCACTTTTTTCACTCGAAGTCATCGTTTTCGTTTTGGTCTATATAACAGTGTTCTCACTAGAAATCAAATTGCAACTGATTTGATAATTTTATCTGGTCGATGCTTATATAGTTTCGAATCAATTAAACCTTGACACATAAAACAAGACTGTAATTTCGAACGATCATCCTAATTAAAAACGAATACAGCCACTGCTGCACGCAAAGTGTATAACAATATTTGCATTGTAAAGATGCACAACGAATCCGTGCTACGGATTGACAACTTATGAAAATTTGCGTGCTGTTTTTGATCAATTCAGTCGATAACACCACCCATATTGAATGCATTTTTGTTCTCATTGTTCTAATAGAATATCGTCGATTTTTTTCGCCTCCTTAAAACGATGATAAAAATAATCAATTTCATTAATCAAGAATTCTCTCCAGAAAGATTGTCGCTTGAAAAATGATCAAGCCAGAATACGTAGTAGCCCATAGCCATCAAAATGAATCCGATTTATGTCAAATGTCTTGACAAGATTGAAACTTTATTAACATCTTATTTGCGAAATGTGTCAAAACATTGGAATAAAAATGAAATGAAATAAAACGTAGCTATGGAGGAGGAATCTATGTCCCGTGGTGCCACATCGTAGGTATGTGAATATATTCTGCACAAGTTAGTTTAATACTTTTTGTTTTGATTTAGAATTTGTGGATTTTTGCGAATATTTTGGATTTTTCACTCGTGGGAGTTGCTATGTATTCCATGTATACTTGATTGGTGTCCGAAGCTGTTCTTGGGATTCATTGATCACATAACATCCTTTTGGCATTGGCTAAAGCGGTTTTTAGCCTTGTATTGGAAGTCGTTGACAGTTTTAATAGTTCCGATTGCTCTTTTGCCAATTATTCTGATGGACGATAAGCCTGTAAATAAAATTTATTTGCATTTTCAGATTATAGTACCATCAGCATTTCTGCATTATTTGGGCTTTTAAATTGAAAAAAAAAACAATTTGTTCATCTCTCGATATCATTGCAGGAAAATCGATGTTTGTACGTTTTATTGTTGGTAGGAATTTTTTGGTCTACCGTCGCACTTCCAATACGTGAGTGTTATGTGTTCGCTATAATTAGTATAATTATTAACCACTCAGTTTTCGATACACTTCAATTTGGGCTCATTTATATATTCTCTGAAAAAATGATAAACCGTTTATACTTACAGCGGTGACCAGTATGTTACCCGTTATTTTATTTCCAACTCTTGGTATATTGGTGAGTATGGGACTGATGAAAATATAATTTAAAAAAAATCTAAAGTTGAAGAAAAAAATATAGACTACTTTGACCAATGGAAATGCCATTAAATAAAAATACAAACGATATTCGATCTAGAGCACAAACGAAACATGTGAAGCGTATATGAGTGAAGAGAATATGAGCTTCATCTCGGAATTGATAATTGCATTGACGGTGCAGCATTGCAATTTGCACAAGCGTGTTGCATTGAAGATAATATCGGTCATTGGATGCAGTCAGCGAAAGTGAGTGGATTATGAATAATGAACCGCCGCATTTTCGATGATTAATGGAATTTCCGTGTGACCATGTTTTTTCTAGGTTGAATTTTGGTTTGATTTCGGTCACAATGTTTATTTCGATGTGGATTCCAAATTCAGTAGCTATGACGACAATGGTGCCGATCATCAAAGCCGTTTTGGAGGGATTGGAAAATGTTAGTACTTTTACGATTTGAAATAATTTAAATATTTTCCTTTGAATTTCACCTAATTTTACTCATAAAATTCTGTCATCAGGAAGGTGTTTGCAAACTTTACATTGACAATAACGACCCAGAAAATCATGAGCGGAGTTCATCATGGCATCATTTGGGACATAGTGCAAAAAAGCCATCAAAAATCACTATGTGTTATTTCATGGTAAAAAGTGGAAATTATTTGTATTATATGTATGACCAGCACCGCTGCCACTGCTGCTGCATACACACTTATTTCTTTTCTTCCTTTTCAAACGTGTACATAAAATTATGAACAAAATTCACAGGGAGCGGCTTTTGTTACTTCGATCGGCAGCTGTGGCTCACTTCTTGGAAGCGGAACGAATTTCGCACTGAAATATATTTACGAAAATAAATTTACCGGCCAAAAGATTGACAATCTCCAGTGGATGTGTTTCAATGTGCCATTGATGCTTATCAACACCGGTGCCACTTGGCTTTATCTACAGTGGTATTTTATGGGATTGTTTAGAGTAACAAGTGACGAAGCCATACAATATAACTTAGGGAATGAGGGTAAAAAGATTGTCAAAAAAGTCATCGCCAAGCGATACAACGAACTCGGACCTATTTCTCAATGTGAAATTCAAGTGGCATTGTTATTAGTAGTCGGAATTATTTTGTATATCCTAAATTCAGCATTAAATTCTGGATTTAAAGAAGCACCATTTTCCCTTCTAATTGTGGTTGCTTTGTTTGCGTTGCCAGCCAATTGGAATTGGCTCAAATTCTTGACTGGCAAATCATCTGAATTTCCAAGAACCAGGGCGCAAAGCTTAATCACATGGAGATATATCAATAGAAAACTACCGTGGAGCCTATTCTTTCTCTTGGGATGCGGATTTGCACTAGCTCGAGGTAGCAAAGCCTCAGGAATGTCTAAGATGTTGGGCAGCAAGTTATCAAGCTTAGGTGGATTGCCATTTTTAGTGCTGTTATTCCTGATTTGTCTCTTCACACAAATCATCACCGAATTTATTTCAAGCATTGCCATTGTAAACGGTATGTTTTCGAAAATGAAAAAAACCAATGTCTGGGTTGGCCAAGCTAAATGCATTTGTTTCAAATATTATTTAGTGATATTACCCATATTGGCTGAATTAGCCATCAGTATCAAAGTACATCCACTGTTTTTAATGTATCCATCAACTATATCGTGTTCAATGGGTTTTCACACAATTTTTGGTACTCCTCATAATTTGATTGCAGCCGAAGTTGCAAATATCAGGACCAAGGACATTGTAAGGATGAGAAGAATTTAAATTGATTTCTTAGAGTGTTTAACATTAATGTGACCAACCATTTCATTAGGCAATCGCGGGACTGGGGCCATCGATTTTTTCATTGCTCACAATTTGGGCCGCCTTTCCTACATGGGGAAGAGTTATTTATCCAGAAATTGGCACTTTTCCTTCGTGGGCAAACGTTACAACATCCAACGATAATAATCTCATCAATCAGCCATGGCTCTAAGTGTGTAGTCAGTACCTTAAATTGAATCGATTAGCCTACTTTTTGATGTCCAACTCTTTTTTTTTATTGGTATCCGTTAATTAATTAAAAGTGAACTTAATGTCAAGTTCGCCATCGACTATTTGTTCACTGTGCACAGTCACGTAATGAAATTAAAATCATCATCAGACGATGTATTGTTGTATTCCCATCGGAAAAAGGAAACTACGTATACGAAAAACACTATAATATAAAACTATAGTTGACCAATTGGACATATAGTTGAATGGGTTATGTCAGCTCAGAACCAGTCATATAAAACAATAACATTTTAATATTAACTTTGTAATTAATGTGTCAACTAAAATGATAAAATGATTCCATAAGCTTCACATGCAACTTTACAACAGACAATTTTGCTAATATTTATGATGCAGACCAGGTGTTTGTCTCTACCACAATTGACAACTTAATGATTCTAGTCACGTTTCACTAACTCATTTAAATCATTTGCTGTCACCTTGATAAATGTTAAAGCGATTGATATTCATTTTCATTTTAGTATGAGTATGAGCATTGAGCACTGAGCAGTATTCATTACCTCACCGGCTTAATGAAATGAATGCAGTTCAAATTTTCATTTTAGCTTGTTGCGAACAATATCTCGTACCCATAATTCTTGCCTGAAAAATAAATGGAAAATCACAGACTCGATCTATTCTGTTTTGTATTTTACTCATTTATTTCGTATGTATAATTTTGCGGTTGTTCTGCTTTATACAATGTATAAACGTAATACACAATGAATAATTACCAAAGTAAAGTTTATGTTTTTTTTTGTTGTCGTTTATAAGAGTTGTTGTAGAAATATAGCTTACGAAAAAAAAGGAAGAAAATTTTTAAAACTCCTTTGTTAATCGTTACAGTATTAGTATAAATTTTGGTTTTGTGTTGCTATCATTAATGTTGTCGTTTTATTTTTGGAATCAGAAAGATCGCAGACAAAATGTGATTGTATATCTATTTCACTTTATTATGTGTTGCTCCAAGTATTTAATCGAATAAAACCAAATAATTCGATATACGCACATTTCTTTAGTCTTAAAATTGTTCCATGGAAACACAAGTCACGTGTAAAAAAATGGATTTAAAAAAAAAAGTTGATAAATTTGTATAAATTGTATACGTAGTCTACAGCGGGTTGAAGCAATCGATACAAAATGTGACGAGACATAAACTACGTTCTAAACAAAATTCCACTAATCTCGATCCCATACTAATTTGGCGTCCATCTTTTTCTTTAGTCACGATCTTTTTATGTCTCGACCTATTTTTGTTTGTAATCATTACATTTTATTTGTTTGTTTGTTTTTTGCAGTCTTTCAACAGAAAAAAATGCATAAATATACTGATTAGAATGTTTTGTTGATTTTATTTTGACTAAAATATTCCAATGTGAACATGGAACATGCCGTAGATAATCTGAACCAAGATGTAAAATCGAATTTGAATTCGAATTGTAATTCAAATTTCCTATTTTGTTTTAAATTCAAATTCTTTTTATTTTTGTTTCAAATTTTGATATTCCAAACCATAAGTTATTTTTCTTTGAATAATTATGTAAAATTACCCTTTGGTTTTGATTTTGAATATCAAAAAAATGCTATCTAATCGTTGATTTGGCAGTAATGTAATTTCCAAATTCAGAAAATCTACTGCAATGTCACACTGGCTATCGCAATTTATTTGCGTTAATTGCTACAAATATCATAAAGATAAAACACAAAATTGTAACGAATATTTGTTTGATGTTTTTATCTGACCGTTTTTTTTTAAATTCTAAACTATGTGCGATTGCGCACTTTAGAACCGAAATCAAGAAATACAAAACATATACGAACTAATAAGATCGATGTCAAAAAGGACTACACAGACTTGATTTGGGGGATTGAAGAAAAAAAAAATTTGTACAAAAACTGTTCTGAAAACAAATGGCGTTAAAATTGACACAATTTTTGCTGAATAAAAATTATGATGAAAAAACGATCAAAAAGAAAACATAACATGTTGGTTGCTTTATTTCTATGACTAATATGGCAAATTGGTATTTAATTTCGATTCGTTTTCTAAATTAATACATATGACAAAAACATGCTCTTATCCTCTTTAAAATAATCATATTTTTTTGTTTTCTTTCAATTATATATTACGGTCACTTATGACAAATAATAGAGTCATAATCATTGATTATAATTATGCGTAGTTATTTGGAAACAGACTACATTTTTTTTTTAATTTCATGTCATTGTCTTATTTTTCTATGTAGTATTTTGTGAATATGTCATATGCTGTCGAATAGTTTATTTTGCAATAATTGGTTTGCATTATTTACAGAGGGAAAACGCTTTTCTTTTTCTGCTAGATTGGGCCAAAATGTTTCCCGTAACTAGAACGTTGTGACAAGAAATTGAAACAAAGAAGTTCAACGCGAACAGTAAATCAAAATCGAATTTACAGTCCAAATTGAATGACTGAGCCATGTTATGACCCTTGGTAATCCACATAAAATAAGAGATGGGTGAGATTTTACAAATAGAACAATTCAGAGAGACTACTCACACCTTCTTCGACTGTCACATTTGCCACCGTGGCGCATTTCCTATGTCTCTTTTTTTTACAAATTTCATAGATGAGTAAAACCATTTCACAGTTTTATAATAATTTGGTTTGTCCTTTTTGTAATCCGATATAATTGGCCCAGGTGGCCTTTCATATTATTTCTTTAAAAACACATTTACACAACTTCACATATGATTTTCTTTTTTCAAACAATATTTTCGTCACTATTTCACAACTTCGTCTAGGAGTTGGTCTTGACGGATGGTGATGGCGATGAGTCCAAGTCTGATTTATGCAAATCGGCATAATTTGCTATAGCTCTATAAACGAACTCGTATTGTGCCTGCAAGTGAATATAATCATGAATAATCGTAGCCAAAAAATGATAAACCAATGGATCTAGATTCCATCTACATGATAAATGATCACAACTTACATATGTGCTGAGGAACTGACTACGCTGACTACGTAATTTTCGCACAACCGTACAGACATCGACCTTCTTTTCCAATCGCAGTTGCTGCACCAATATGCACAGTGTCACAAATATTGAACTACGATCAGTACCAAGACTGGAAATTTGATGCAAAAAAAAAACAATGTTAATCTCTTTCCAGTTTCACACGAATCTTAACCTCTTTGAAATGCAAAATTCAATATTTCATTACCTGCAGTGCACCACAATGGGGCTAGATACATATGTGGGATTTTCATGTAATGCTAGTGTTTGATCGACTAGTTCAAGCATACCACGGGTCACTTCGGGTACTTCACCTTCCACCGTTGGCCATCCATTGTATTGGAATTGAGTCACTTTAATTGTATCTTTTATCTTGAAATTGGTAACATTGAATTCGCGCCGAGTGTAATATGGACACGATTCACTTTGCATATATTTCACTAGAATGTGATCGTATTCGACTTCATCGTCAGCCCAATAACGTGGGCATTTACGTGGTCCATCACCGATCTGGTGGGCGAAATTAATACAACATTTACATAATTAGATATCAACTTTTTGAACAGAAGACATGGCTGATGACTTACTTCTGAAATCATTACGATCGTACTGATGCTTTGTTCGGAAAGCATCCGCCAGAAATCACCTATCGTCTCTTCGAGAGGGTCTTGCGTTATGATAAATGATTCCGAATTATCATAGCCCTCCATAAAGGTGGCATTTATGTATGTGGATGGTTGTGGACCTGTCATTTTGCCATTTGAAAAATTCGATTTAGACAATTAGAAAACGGGCGTTCCGCGTTCAGCTGATAAGAACAAAAATGAAAGAATTCCTCACCGATTGGTGTGAGAATGACACGATTTCTATCGTATGGGATCACACTATCACTACGGTTTTTGTTGCGATTTTCTTCGCTTGCTCCAACTGCACAACTCTTGTTCGTTTCATCCAGCACGGAATTGAGTCTCTGTGGATGGAATTTGATGAAAATTGAAAATTTGCCAAAACAAACAACACAATTATTGTGATGAAATTACCTCAAATTCAATTTCCAATTTGCATTGGTCTCGGCTGTCATTTGATCGTTGTTTCAGCTGTTCGACGGTGCTATTGAGATCTTTCAGCTGAATCTCTGTGTTTCCGAACTGAGCGACATCAAGCAATGCACGGTACAAGAAAATGTATTGTTTCTAAAAAGAGATATCAATAAAATATAATTTGGTGGATGATTCGTTTTAATTGATTTCAAATATTGAACGGCAGTTATTCTCTATCCACTTACCAATGATTGAACTAAGAAATTTCGCTGATGACGCATATCGTAAACAGTATTGAAGATGGACACTTGATTTTCGTCTTGTAATTGCTGCATCAATGAGTCCAAAGCGACAAGTGTTCCTGTGCGACCAACACCAGCTGCAATTGAACCAGAACAATTTCGTTCAGAATTCATGGGAAACGTTAAAAAAAATGAACTGAAAATTCAGTTTGAATCGAAAAAAGAAAAATCAAAACCAACCAGAACAATGGATCAATATCGGGCCGCGTTGCAACGAATAAACATCATTAATTTGGCGAATGAATCGAATCACTCCAAGTTCGGGAGCCATGAAATCCTTCCAAACCAAGTAATGGTATTGAGTTATGTGGCGTTCCTCTTCTTCGTCACCACTGACACTGCCGTTACTCAAACCGCCGTTTCCGTTCGAATTGACGTTATTATGTGCTGAATGGGATCGAGTAATTTTCAATTCACGAACCAGATAGTCGGTGTAGCGTTGTTCATGTGTGAATGCAACGGTAATTTCTCCAAATTTCTGAGTATCATTAATTTGTTCAGGCCAATACTTGGCACACTTTGCCTTATTGTACTCCTCAAGATTTGTCAACATTACGATAATTTCCAGGTGTTGTTCCCAAATCATGCGCCAGAAATCATTGACCGTGCTATCCATTGGTCCTTGGGCACAGATGAACTTCTTGCGCTCTTTATAGCCGATGACAAAATTTGCGTTGATATAATCCGTTCCACAAGTCATTCCATTTGTCAAACGTTCTGACAGTTTCACTCGCGTCTGATCATATGCTTTGATATCTGGATATCGGTTTTTGCCCGCATTTTCTTTGGCATCTGAATTTTTCGTTGTGCGATCATTGAATCGATTGGGCAACATTTCGTACTCTCGTAAAAATCCATAGTCAGTGTCTTTGTGTCGCATAATGTATGCTTGTAGCAAGTCATCTCGGTGAATTGGCCCGATGTCAGTTGGCTTTTGGACTGTTGTTCCCAACAAATGACGACGACTCTGATTGTTTCGTCCGCCACAGAATGCACGGCTCAACGAATCACGCAGACTGATCACATCGTTTCCTTGTTGTTTCGTTGAGTTGACACGATGCATTACACACAATGTGGTCAACAGCACCAGCACGAGAAGGATCAAGCCACAAAGCACTTGCGTTAAAATGCTCAAGATTTTTGAGAGATTCTCCTCTTGAACGGAATCAATTGCCGTACTCATGTTCAACGGATCCATGTATTCACTGTATGTGGTCAACACTTCACTTTTATCATCTTTGTTCACTGAAAAAAAAAAAAGAAACCAACTCTTTAGTATCATCATAAATTTTTTTGGGGTTGTAATTCTATCTAAACATACCAATCACTTCAATGTAACCGGAGTAAATGCTTTCCGAATCCAATGGGCCATCGTAAACGATATTTTCAGCATTATTTCCATCGACAATTTGAATACTTTCCTCAGCTCGGGGTGCAGTGGTTGTTGCTTTGCCAGTTTCCGGATTTTCCACTTCAATTGCATTTGTGCTAACCTCACGACGAACCAATCGATCGAATCGACGTTTTCGAGTTTTTGGTATTTCACTGGGTTTCGGATCTTCCGGTTCCTTCTCATCTGGTTCATCTGGTTCATCTGGTTCATCTGCAACTGAAATTTCGTTTTGGGAACACATAAACACAGATACTTTAGAAATTACTTGGTGTCGTACACACTTACCGTCAATCAATGGTTTCGTTGTTGTTGTTGTTTTCATCAATCCAATTGAATTTGCTGCTGATGAACGCTTCGATGGTGGTACAAATCCTCTGAGCAATCTACGGCACTCAGCATTTTGGACTCCTTGGAATCCGTCATTGTTATTATTACCGTCACCCAAGATCACTTCCCTGTGGATGGTCTCGGTGGAGAGTGTTTCCGCGATGTAAACACCGCCACGATAATTTGTCTCTGCATGCACCTCATGATAAGTACTGATATTCAACTTTTTAATGTCTGGAAGTTTGTAGCTTTCCAATCCAAGATATTCCGGCATTCGCACCAAATAGATGCGATAGCCACAGATTGGTCCGTTTCGCTCGGACAATTCCGGCATGTATACTTTGATTAGGTATTTGCCATCAGAGCGAGCACTGCCCCAAAGAATTGGCTTCCAGTCCGGTATGTATCGAGGCGTTGAGCATTTTGCAGTGGCAACAGCGCCTGGTTTTCTGCTTCGTGTTATCGCCGACACTTTGACCGTAAACTCAGTATTGAATGGCACATTTTCGAATTCGGCTTTTGTTTGTGGTGCAAGAGCTACTTTTGATTTTGGACCATAGGTGTCATTACGCAATGCATGGTTTTTCTCCGACCGATACGATGCAACGCCATTCAATTCAAGATTATAGCTTACGATCACTCCGTTGCGTTGAAGAGGCGCGTTCCATTGCACGGATATGACCGTTCTATCGGTAACATTACAATGTACTTTCAAGTTGGTAGGAATGCTGGCAGTGCCATCGGATGTGGCGCCTGTGACACTAGCCGACCAATTGCCACACTTTTTGGTCAGTTCATTGCAGGCACGAACTCGAAAAATGTATTCAGTGCCGGCTTTTAACTGAAAAATAGAATTACATTGAGAATTAGTTTGTGAATCACGTTCAATTTGTCAATTAAACACTTACATTGTCAAACATGTACGGTAAATTGCGGCTATTTTGTGGATGTACGGCCTCTTCGATGATTTTCGACTCGTTCGCCTTTAAAGCAACCGTTAATTCATAGTACTGGATGTATTGCAGTAAATGGGCTGATGGTGGATGCCATCCAATTGTTATTGTTTCGGTTGTCATGCCTTTAACTTCAATCACTGGTACAAAAACTGGATCGACGGCAAGTGTTGTAACTGGTGTTTTGTGATCGTACACAGGACTATCCAATCCGATTTTATTTGTAGCCATAATTTTTAAATAGTACGTTGTATTTGGTTGAAAATTTTCCAACACATGAGACGTTTTATTTCCATTGAGGCGTTCTTTGTAGTATAGGTATGTTGGTTCACCCTCTTTCATATATTGAACGGTATACTTTGTGATTGGTGAATTGCCGTTGTTCGTTGTCCAATTAACAAAGATTTCAGTAGCACCAACTGCTTCAACTGTCTCAAAATTGACTTGTGGTGCATGTAGCACAAAAACAGCTGAAGAACCGCTAACCAGTCGAGAATTGTCAAATACCTGATCATCATCGTCGTCGTATGGTACTTCAACAATACACGAATAACGGCCCGTATCCTTTTTTGTGATATTGGCCAAATCAAGTGTAATATTTACTCGTTGTTCGTTCAAACGATTGATCTTGGAGCGATTTGCGACGAATACTTGATCAAAATGAGATGTTGCCATGGGCCGTTTGTCAATGGAATTTGCGTCATCTTTTACCCATTTGATGGTTTTCTCAAAATCGGCCAACGGATGGGCTTCAATCACACAAAATAACAGCACACTGTCACCAATTCGGGGTTCAATGCGTTCAGCGCTCTTGGCAACAATTCGCGGCTGGATAACGGCAGCAACAGAGAATCGCTTTTTCTTCGGCTCAGCGCCGCCATCGATCGGACCAAATTGCTCACATGTGTAAATGCCGGTGTCATTTGCTTCAACTTTTCGAATTGTCAGCGAGTATTTTTGACGCGGTAGCTCATTGTTATCAAGCCGCAAATGGAATCTGTTGGATAAAAATCCACGTATGGATATGTATTTGAGTTTTTGCAAAAAGTATTTGAAATGTCAAAACAAACCTTTTATTCGATTCCGCAATGTTAACACCATCTTTATTCCATTTGAATGGCACATTTGATTCCGTTTCACATAAAACGGTGAAATTACTTCCAATCACAGCATATTTTCGAATGGGTTCTATACCGAAAATGAACGAAAACACAAAAAATTACATTGATTACAAGCGACTTATCTTTAATTAACAATTCATGGCGATAAAGAAGATAGAACGTGATTTGTTTTTTTGAACGATACACAAAAGAACAGAACAGAACAGAACAAAACGGAACGTGAACGAATGAGTGAATGAGTGAGCGCAACTGAGTACATTGTGAGTGGGCGAACGTCAAAGCGGTACTCAAACAAATATACTAAAAACACACCCCAGAATTCAATACGTATACACCATATTAAAGCAGTAATTTGACTGCATGTTTCCATGTTGCGCTCACTCTTAATCGCACGCTCATCTCACGCACTCATCGTCAGATGGATGAAATCCATTTTTTTTATTTCTCCTAGTTTGGTTTTACCTAATTGTTGGTCAGCTTGTTGTTCCTCGTTGGCGACCACCGAAATGTTTTGAATGTTTGCACTTGCAATAAATAAAGCAATTAAAATGACGATCGGCGTTTGATTCATTTCATAAAAATTCCAATCACAATATCGACGGCCGAACATTGTTCACAATGTCGCGCGTCAACGTTGTGTGTGTGTGTGTATTTGATGCAAATATTCAATGCAATTCGATATTTGATGTTTGTTTCACTCGTCCTGCCTGTCGAACTATTTTCTTTTTTCTCTCTTCTCTCACACACTTAACTCTCCCACTTTTGCTTCCTTTCGGGTTAAATCGCACAAATTTCCATACGATTCGCAAGTGGTGATTCACAAAAAAAATGTTGCTATATCAAAGCCATTGGGATCGGTATATCGGATGAATTTCCTATTGGTTCGACGATTTCACGGGCACACAAAAAAAAACATACACAATTGTACAATCCACTAAAAAAAAGCGAAATTTTGGTCTCGGTGTTCAGTCCCTTTTTGTGTATAGTACGTTCGATTCTGCGGCCGTAAAAAGTTTCACACAACAAATCACACTGGTCAATCATTCACCAAAAATCACTTGGTGATTACCATCGTTATTAAATGTGGTTTCGTTTCGAAACACTTCGAATACGATTTGAATTTGGCAAAAAAAAAAATTCTTTTTTCTCGCTTTATTTGTTGTTGATTCGATCGAGTCCAAAGAACCGAGAACAAACAATATACAAAAAGAAATGTATGTACACTTAAAATTTGTTAGTTTAATCGGCTTCAATCGTACACTACTGCCAGCCTGTTCTTCTCACACATCTCTTTTTGCTTCGATTTTCGATGTGTATAGTTGTCTGTGTGAACGCTTGAATGACCGTGCTGTTGGTGTGCGTACTCACAGAGATGTATGCTCATTATTTCGCAGTTGCTCAACACACCACACACACAGACACACACATAACACAATACACACTCGCACATACTCACAGAACGATTCACCGCGCAAACATACTAGATTTTCTTTTGGCATTCATGTCATTTTAAATTAAATTTTCTACGGTCAAAGTTCAAAATGAATATGATTTTACTTTTTTTTGTCTAAATTGAACCCCTTAAATATTAGCTGTTTCATTTTATCAACGACACTGATTGCTTTAATCGCTCAAGTGACTTTTGCCACCCATTTCCATCGATAAGTGATCAGGCGATTAAGCTTTTTGGTTGGATTTCTCCTCCGTTCTTTGTCAATCTCAATCTATGGAATGGAATGATGAAAGTCACACCGATCATACAAGTCATTATCTAAAACAAAACGGCTCAATTGAAGAATAAATAAGTGAAGCATATTCACGGAATTAGAAAATTTAAAAGTGCTCCTCCCTTGCCTATACCTCCCATCAAAAACAATGTGGCGACCTCTACAATGTGCGCCAACTATGCGATGACACTTTCCAATGCTGTTCGCCAATTTTTCTATTGTGTTGGTGTGCCTTTCAGCATTGAGATTATCAATTGATTCACACATTCAGTCTCAATTTTGGTGACGAACAAACTTGTTCAGAGAAAACCAAATTGAACAAAAAAAAAACCTAGTGAGAGAGGAAAAAAAGAACCATTTCATCTCAATTTCGATTGCATTAAAAAGTGTAGAAAAAGCGAAGAACCATGCCGAAAAACAAGGGAAAGGGAGGGAAAAATCGTCGTCGTGGTAAGAACGAAAACGAATCCGAAAAACGTGAATTGATTTTCAAGGAAGACGAACAAGAATATGCCCAAGTCACGAAAATGTTAGGCAATGGCAGATTGGAAGCAATGTGCTTCGATGGTGTCAAACGCTTGTGTCACATCAGAGGCAAACTTCGGAAGAAAGTAAGTGATGTTTTTTTTTCTGATGAAATTACTAATATTGAAAACAATCCAGGTGAAAAATGCACACGTTTTGATTTATGAAGGAGAGTAAAAATTGGTCCCACGACAGAAAAATTCAACAATTTGTATAAAAATGGCGCCTTTCGAAATCTTTCCAACAAACAAAAAAAAAGTTGTGAAATTTTTGGGTTTTTTTTCGAATTTGATTGTTAGCATTGTGAAAAGTGCTGAAAAGATTACGCATTAATGTTTTTCCCTTTGTTTCGATATTTTACGCATAATTCCGTGATGATGATTGTGTGCCAGTCCGAAAGTTGAACAACTTTACACATATGCTATGATTGTATGGGTGTGCACTGTGCATGCAGTAAATGACATTAGTCTCGGCACGCTCCCCAACGATCATATACTATAATATCTCATGCATTCGCAACCTCGTGTTATGTGTGTGTATATAACAGTATTTTGACATGAGAAGACCACACACTACACTGCAAATTTTTGTTGAAACACAAAAAAAAACTGCTAATGATTTGCCAGTTTTTTATTTCAGGCCAATGACTAATTTTTTCCGCAAACATTTCTCAAACGTGACTTCGTTCAATGCAATTTTTTTTTTTAATTTGGTGTGACTTCCTCTCGTTCATTTCAGGTCTGGATCAATCAAGGCGATATTATTCTGGTTGGTTTGCGTGATTATCAAGATTCAAAGGCCGATGTTATCCTCAAATATACACCCGATGAAGCAAGAAATCTAAAAACGTACGGTGAATTCCCCGAATCGGTGCGCATCAACGATACAGTTACATTTGTTGAAGACGGATTAGACGAAGACATTGAATTTGGTGATGAGATCAGTTCCGAAGATGATGCCGATTCAGTTGATGCTATTTGATAAGGAGGAAGCACACGCAACTGTTATCGTTAAGAGAATTATGTTAAGAATAATCTATTTCTTCGCAAACAATTAACTGGTGAAACACAACAGAAATTCGATATACAAATAAAATACCACTCACAAAAAAAAAACGAATGTCCATAGGCCTTTTTTCATTCTGAAACTGTATGATGTTCCAGGAATTTTTTTTTATGGTGTTCTAGCCCATTTTCAAGTGACTACTTTGTATTTACATTAAATTTAAGGGACTAAGAATATTCACACACTTCATCCTTTCACATTCACACAGATCCTTTTGAATATCAATCGAATGACTCATCAAGAAGTAAATATCATTAAACGTAAAAAATTACCTCACTTTTGATGAATGGATTATCTCACCTAATTAAACATAACCATAGGTTGATTATTATGGTGTGAAGTGTCGTTCAACCACATTTTCAGCTGTTTAGTATAGCAGCTTAATAAAGGTATGATGTCATCGCAATGTATTATCAGCAAAAAGTACCTGAATAAAACGCCCAGCCGGGAAACACAAAATTAAGAAGAAAATCTTTTTTTAAAAAAAAGTTCTTTATTCATTCTATAATACATTACTAGAAATTTTGTGTTTGTGAGTCTATTTTTGGTGTAAGTTCAATAGCATGTTTGTTGCATTTCTTGATATTGCTAATTGATTTGAAGCAAAAAAAAAAGAGAAGGATTTATTTAATATTTCATATAGATTTGTTACTGAACGGATACGGTTGTCAAATTCAGTTGCTTTCACAATAGCAAAAAAAACATTACTTCACAAAGCCAAAGAAAATGAACTCCGAAAAATGGTTGGTTGCTACAAGTTTTTAATTTTCAAATTTCAAATTTCAATATATACAAATTATTATGCCGATTATTTTAAAGAAAATTGATGTTAAGAGAAAATTTCTTGTCGAAATACTTTGATTTTGAATAAAACAGTTTGCGAATTTGTTTTTTGTCTCTACAATTTTCACAATAAAATCAATTGGAACCGACACAAAAATGAAAAATAAACTAAACGAAAACGAAAGCCTAACAATATGTCACGATGCGTTTCATCTGCGTCTCTTGATATTTTTTTTTCCTCAAAATTTGTTGTTTCTTCACTTTCATTTTTGTACGAATGCTAAATAAGCTTACAGACTATTTTCCGATATTCCGTCATTTCGATTCACCTATAATCTTACAGTATTACATTTTTTTTAAGTTAGTGTTAATATATAGTTTTTTTTTTATTGTTGTCTTATTTAAGTAGTGCTTGACGATTTGTTTTCTCATTTAAGTATACAATTAGAGATAAATAATTGTAATAATATTCGTTTGAAATAGTAGTATTTCTTCAGTTTTTTTTTTTCAACCAAAACAATAATAAAATGGTATAAATAAGTCAGTGAAGAAAAAAAAACAGGAGAAAATATGGAAATAAAATGATAGTGATGAAGGAGAGTGTTGATGTTTTGGGCCGGTTTAAATACTTGAAGATTTTCTTCTTGATAAAGTGGAGCATGCAACAAGATGAGATCATGTCGCAAATTGGACGCCAGAAGTGGAAATCAAAAATGAGTTTTCATAAGTTTGAGCTCGATTTTTCAAGGTCATGGTCGGATTTTACTGGATTCTCAATATAATAATAAAAAACGGGGAAGGGAAGGTGTTTTTGTTTTGGTAGCTTGTTGGACTTGTAATAAAAATTAAAACAAACAAAATAAAGGGATGAACATATTTTATTTGAGTGATATTTGAATGAGTTGTGGTTGTGTGTGTGTTTTTTTTTGTTCGAATTGGCAAATCAACAAAATGCGTAAAGTAAACAAAAGTTTCGACATTCAAGAAAAGAAAGCCTATTCTAGCAGTGAGCTTGCATGCAGTCATAAATATGCAGCAGGTCTCGCTGTCAGCATTGTCTATTGATCAGCTCGATTTCGTACTAATCTACGGTTTTCTGCGAAAAAAATTTCTTTTGCGTATTTGTTACATTTACATCACTATTACATTTTATTTATTCTTGAAGCTTCTACGAAATGTGTTTTTTTGTTGTTGTTGTTTTTTTCTTCTTTAATTTTAAATACGTCACATATTCGACCTTCCACGGTTTTTGTCGTTTTACTACTGTTAAGGCATCCTTTATTCATATTCATCATCGTTAAAGGTTTTGTGTGTGTGTGGTGTTTGTGTTTTACAAGTCTCACGCAGAGTGAATGCGGTATGAAAAGAGTACATGACACATTGAGGATGAGGACTTATCATCATCATGTTGATGACGGATTTGTGAAACAAGATGAAACATGAAAACCAGAACGAAAAAAACTTTCGGTAGTAAATGAAACGACCGTCATTAATATTTGATACATGTATATACGGTACAATGCTTCGCCAAAAAAAAACAAAAAAAATTTTCGCACAAATAGCCGACACCTTTGCAACTCCACTTAAGCCGAAAATCTAAGAAATTACGAACAAAACGGTTCTCTCTTTCTGTCACGGTGTTTTAATTAAATACTATGAATAATTTAGTCTAAAAACTGAAAGTTACAATTCAAATGTTCTACTTTGTCTCTCCTTCAAAACACATAAAATTCACTCGATTTCAACCGTACAACTCCCTCTCTTTCTCTATATTTCTCTCTCTCTCTCTCTCTCACTCTCTCTCTCTTTTCGCCGGTCTTTTACTTGTCTTTCTCAATTTCAAACTCCATTAAAATGCTTCTCTCCGAAAATATCCATCTTGCAATCTGTGCTAAAAGTGTGTATTAAATACACCGAAAAATATTGCCGTTAATTTATTCATATTTTCATTTCAGATTGTTTCTCTTTCTTCACTTCATTTCATTGCGCAACAAATAAGCATACTATTTAAATTCTCAAATGTTATCTGTCATTCAGGTTATACGTTCTATGTCTTCGTTCGCATTTCTACAAATCCTTTCTAACTCAGCGCATGTGTTTACAATTAAAAAAATAATATTCAATAAAAATCAAGCACAATATTTCGATGAGTTTTAAGATCTGACAGAGAAAAAATAAACTCTTAATATTCCATCTTATTGATTAAATGCAAAAACAAGGCTTTGAATTCTCTCTTTTTTTTTCAATACAAAACTAAAAAAGAGAAGAGGAAAAAAAAACGAAAATGATATTTCATAAAGGTTGTGTTGATGATAGCGGTACTGCTTGATTAATGACAATAGATTTGATTGATTAGTTTGCTTAATTACTGCGTTTACTGTATGTTGTGTCGATACTAAGCACAAGGAGGTTCGCTAATGACCTTTTGCTGCTTCCTTAGCGGCAAGGATTAATGGAGTCAAGCTCGCTAATGGACGCGCTAATTTCAAGAAAGTGTGCTGCAAATAAAAGAGAAAAAAAAATGATATCAAATTAGAATTTGGGGCATTTCTTATTAGAAAAAAAAATTGCATCAATTTAATCGAGCGTTGATTAAATTTAGTAGAAAAAAAAACTCACCTTTAACAGTTCAGGTGCACCGGCCCGTTGTTCAACGTCTACTTCTAAGCATTGATCAAGGAAATCCTGGAATATTGGACTGAGTTTTTCCATTTCCTTAATCTCCGGTTTGCCATTCGTTGCAATCAGATACAATGCTCTCAGCGGGTTTTCATTCAAATATGGTGGCTCGCCTTCGATCATTTCGATAGCCATAATACCTAGTGACCATAAATCGACTTTTGGACCGTACTGTTTCCGTGTTACGACTTCGGGTGCCATCCAATCTGTATGCAAAAGAAATGGATTGTTAGTTTTGTTACTCTTTCCCTACGTCGATCTCCATTTACTTTTAGTAAGAAAAAAAAAATTTGTCAAGATAAACGTGATGCTTAACTTACATGGAGTTCCAACCATTGTGGTGCGCTTCGATTGTTCGGGCGATATTTGTGCACAAAAGCCGAAATCGGTTAATTTCACACTTCCGTCTAAGCCTAATAGTATATTGTCACTTTTTATATCTCTATGTATCACTTGGTTGCTGTGCAAGAATGCCAACGCTTGTAATACTTCACGGCAAACTGCTGCAATTTGTCCCTCATCCATGCACGTTTCGGTGACAACATCGGTCAGCGAACCGCCCGGCAAGTACTCCATCACCACCCATAACTCTTCACCAACTAAATAACTGTCTAAATAGTTCACCACATTCGGATGTTTATTCTCTCGCATCACCAGGATTTCATTGATGATTAATTCTTTTTTGGGCTGTTGTGACAAATTCATTTGTTTTATGGCTACTTCCATACCGGTTGAGCTCTCGATTGCCGTGTACACTGTACCAGATGCACCTTGGCCAATTTTCTCGATTTTCGTGTACTTCCGCGTTGGATCGCCCACACTTACAATTGTTCGCAGCTTATCGAGAATTTCTTCGTCGCTCATTTTCTTCTTCTTGAGACCGCCATTGTTTCGTGGCGTGGTCTGTGGCGCAGCCGGTGGAATTTGATTCAAAATCGTACCACCACTGGTTGGTGTAGTGTTATTACTGCTGCCATTGGCCGTTGCTGAAACAGGTGATGCTGGGTGCACTGTAGGAACATGTTCTACAAATTAAATTCATTCATACATTAAACCCCAAAAACCACAACCCGAAATTGAAACAAAGAGAAAGAAGAATGTGTCACTTACCTGGTGATGTTGGTTTCTGTGTTGATGATTTCGAAAGCACCGCATTGTTCGCCAGTTTTGGTTGCATGTTGTAGTTAATTGAATTCGGACTATAAATATTGCTTGCATTGTTCTTATTCTTATCAAGTGTTGGACTTTTTATTGCAACCGATGCATTCATCAAATTGTTTTGCACCGATTGAGCTTGATGTTGATAGTTGATGGCGCTCTCCGTCAGATTTGTTTCGTCCAGCGGTCTCGTGTACTGTAAACACAAGTTGAAAGAAACCAACACAATGTTAATAAAATTTCAAATTTCAATTGTCGATCGATGCAAAAGAAAACCTACTATTGATTTGGTTCGTTCGGGTCGACTAGAGATTGGTGGTGGTGGAGGTGCATTGTCATCGCTGGACGCTTCTTCATTGACTGAATTGTCGGTAATTTGTAAGCTTTGTTGCGTTGACGATTCACTTATAATCGCTGGATGCAATATTTGCCCACTGTGATGCGATTCAGAATCGGTTGGCGTACTACTTGGCGTGCTGCTGCTCACATGACTCAATGATGAGGCTAAATTTGTAAGTAAGTCAATTTGATAAATTAAACACATGACACATGGAATAAATTAAGGAAATTAAACTGTCACCAAAAAAGGAATGAGAAAGAAAACAACAGAAATCTGTTTGCACTTACCCGAATTTGTAGCGGTTGTTGTGGCGGTTGTGTTGATCATATACTTGGAGCTGGGCCGTTGTTTGCTACTGTTTTCAAACCAATTTAATACATCTAAAACAGCCTGCGGATTCTTCTTTTGCTCTTGTTTGCTAATATTCGAGCTCATGAGCAATCGTGCCCATGCTTCGGGCATCCCCTGTAATCAGAACACAGACAAAATTGAGTAAAGTTTCCGAAAGCCAAACACATAAACAGCAAATTACAATGAGGTGAACAATCGACGGACCAAAATTGATGAAAAAAAAGAAACATTTAACAAAGTGTTTCTGGTCGATTCAGCTCTCTTTTCCATTATTGGCTTGACAAAAAACAAAATTGCCCAACACATAAACACAAAATGTATAACTTTAAACCGTTCCAATTATCGGCTAATTGACTCCCGATTGTTTTGAACATGCATTAAAGAAGGTGACACAAAACGCCAATATTACCAATTGCACGAATGAGAGGAAAAAAAGCTGAATCTTGTTTTGGTGTCAAAAATGGTGTTTTTGTTTTGTAACCTTGCAACCGACATTGCAAAGAAATCCTCACGCAATGAGTCACACGAACATCATTGAAAATCGGTAGCTCGATCCATTTATCGATTTTGCCCATTTCCCCGGAATTTCTTTACAATTTTTTTTTTTCGATTTGCTACTGGCTACAGGCATAAACGTACATTCCAAATATAATTTTGACCAAAAAATGAAAAAAAAAAATACAAAAGACAATAACAAAAAGAAAAGCACGAATTGAAATCACACACAAATATGCAGCTCAGGCAAACAGACACATAAAAACACACGATCACACCGTGCCAATGAACAAATTTCGAATAGATTTTGTGTCGATACAAAATTTTGTATTTTTTTTTCTCGCCTTTAAACCAAAACAATAATAATTGTGACACAAGCAACAAAAACTCAATACTTACTTTCAAAGGCAGCTTGAAACGAAAAAACAAAACGAAATAGAACATTGTGTGAACCAAATCAAAACGAAATAAAAAAATAACGGATCCAGGAAAATCAACATAAGGTTCGAATAACGAAAAGTAAAAAATAAAACGAAAAATTGTTTAGTCTAATATCATATCTTCATAGAAGAGATTGGAAGTTTTGGTATCGAATCGAATCACTTGAAAGAAGAAGAGTCGACGACGCGAAAGAAGAAATGACAAAAAACACACACACACACACATAATTGCGGTGAAACTGTTTTGTGGGCGAAATTGGAGTATTTAATAGTTAATTTATTGAAATGATTTCTTTTTCTTCGTTTCCGTTTTCGTGTATGTGGATGCATTGTTCTTCTTAATGGTTATTGTTTTGAATATTGTCACATGGGAGATAATGTTTCAATGATACCCGACTTTGAAGTGATGCGATTTGAGAGAATACTGATTTTCTTGTTTCTTCTTGTGAAAAAAGAAGCGATACGTTTTCGAAATAACTCAAATAAAAACAACAAAATAAATCGTTTCTGTTCCTTCCATTCTGCCGATACGATGCCAAATTCGAAATGCAAATGGAACTGAAAATTTAGTGTGCAAAAGGCGCAAGCTTTGACAAACCGAATTATTATTTACCATCCGAATGGCGACTATTGATTGGAAATTTTAAGAAAATGAAAAACAAGTGTTGCCAAAATCTCCAATCAAATCTAAATTGATTTTGTACAAAAGCCAATCCAGTCCAATTCCAATAATCAAAGCTTCCAAATTGTAACTAAAGACTTGTATGAATCAAATGGTTTTAAGCAACTTTCAAAAACTATATGGCATATCCAAAAACAGAAAGAAGAAACACAATTCAAACGCAGAATTAAAAAAAAATGAACAAACACAAAAGATGGATTGTATATTTGAATTAGTTTTATGAAATTCATGGCCAAAATTGTCAAAAAATATAATAAATGGTTGTGTTATATACGTGAAAATCAGTCGCCATAACGAAATGATTTTGCGCCCAAAAAAAAAGACAGTAGTAAACAGAGCCAATCAATTGAACTAAGATGTAAAACGCAAGATGTTAGCAAGAACAAACTCTTAGAACTAAATGAGAACGTAAGCGGTTAGCAAATGATCTGCGACAAACGATTGAGCTAAATTAAATATTGAATGTTAACTTACCGTGAATTCACCGGTGATAGCATCGAATCCCACATGAACCGTATGCTCAAAATTCTGCAAAGATTATGGAAAACGATTCGGATAATGAATGAGCCACGGATTGGTGTATGACGATGGACAATTTCTTACTAAACTCACCGTTGGATACGATATATTTGGTTTTGAATCGGTGCCTGGCTTTGGCATTGATCCCTTAATTTTACTCTTGGAAGTCTTCTTCTTTCGATCGCCATCGTCAGGTTCTAACAACCATAAAAATATTTGTATTAATCATTTGATTGCATACGTATGTGTTGGGATTGAAATGTATGTGTGTAATCGATTTCATACCTTTTGGTAGAGGTTTTAATTCGACAGCCGGAGCGCTGTCACTGCGATGATGATCTGATTTAAAACCTTGATTTGTGAAAAACACAAACAACAACAACAACAGCAACAATGAGAATGATTTCAATTGAGAGTTTTGTAGGTGTAGTTTATTCGCTTGACAGCGCTAATTTACGTCATAACCAAGCAATTGCTGGTTGTGATTTAACGACTCATTGCAACATCAAATGCATCAATAACGATTTAAATTATAAATGTTTAATCGATGCGAATTAAATTACCTCGATTTGTGCTAGTTAATCGAACTGGCGGAGCAGGCGGTTTGTCTTCTTCACTCGACATTTTTTGTTTAAATAGCTCTTTTCTCTCTGATGGTTGTTGTTGTTATTTTGGGATTATTTATTTATGTTTAAATTAAATCAACATAAAATCGATTTTTGACACCGATTCTCCGAAGCGAACACAAATTGTCTTTTCTGAAATTGGTGGAAATTAAGCATGTCAAAATTAGTTAGCGGAAACGCAAGATTTGTAGCATAGAATTTTAAGATAGAACTCTCTTTCATTCATACACACAACGGTTTACACTTTTTATTGTATTTTTTTTTGCTAGCATTTGGCTCACACACAAATAAAACAACAGACAAACACACGACGGTTTTTTTTTCGTCTCTCTTTAAGTTTTTTTTTAGGCGACAGCCTCATTCATTTCGACGCTCGTGTATCCAAAAGAGAGCGAAAATAACGATAGTAAGAACCAAAAATATCTTTTCAATCGCTTAAATTCGTCAAGATCACGGCTGCACCCAATGACATTTCTGTCTGTACACACATCCGATTGCATTGGTATGAGCATTAGTCGTACCAGTTGTAAAATGATTTGTTGCTCTTTTCATCTACGCTTTTTTTCTTTTCCACTTTTTTTTTACTTTACACAAATGTTACTCATTCGCGCTATGAATCAATTCACGAATTTGGATCGCATTGATAGGCAACACCAAACGTACACACATTTTTTTTCTGTGTCTCACACTTGAAACGCACCGAAATTGCACATCAATCGAAAAAAATTCGATTATCGAAAAAATTGTCATCAATGAAATAAAAATGACTTCGTTTTGGTTTGAGACCGATTTTTCACTCTCTGTTTCTCACTCTCTCATGGTTCTCTCATGTCATACACCACAAAAATATCGCACTTCAACATTTATAGGTTTTACTTGAGTTTATTTTTTGTTTCGTTTTGAGTATTGAGCCGACTGACTCAACATCGTCGATGGCTATAATCACATTGGAAATCGCGTTATAGCATATTATGTGGTTGGTTAACATTTATCCATTCCATTTTCGAACGTGTGGTACGGCCAAACAAAACAAATCGATAAACGCCAAAATGGAAATTTTCTTCATTCGTGCATTTCAATTAAATGGAAACGACCACAACATTCTCACATACAAACTCACTTGCATTCGGAAAGAGACACATGGAAGAAAGAAAAAAAACTTAAATGAAATGAGAAAAATTCATTTCACTTGCAATTTATGTAATTTTTTTTTCTGTTCGTTTATTTGACGCACATTTTACGATATTTTGTGAATTTGGTCGGTCAAAATTTCTGTTCCTTCAGCTCAACGGGGTATTTAAACTTAAAAGGAAATAAAACAGAATAGCAAAAACACAACGAAAGAGAAAAAAGACACCAAATTCAAAATTCACGCACATAAATTTTTCCTCATTTTTCCCATTTACACACACCGCAAAGCGAAATTGAAATGAAAGGACTGAATGGAATGAATTCATATACACTGAAGCTGAACGGCGCAACCGAGCACGGACTACGCTGTTTGATTGATGGGCTAGAGCAAGAGCGCACGCATACACACTGTCTTACTCTCCTCATTCGAATGGCGTCGCGTGTGTTAGTGAGAATGCTGTTGGTAGTCTTTTATTTTCTGTAATTTTATTGCCTCTGCTGTCGCTGCCATATTTGATTCCGTTCTCAGTATTTGTCGACAGCAGAGAAAAAAAACAATCGCGCGAGAGAACGACAACAGCGCTTTCGTATTGGTTTTTGTATTCATACATACATAGCACACATTGTGTGTAAGAATTTCACTTCCACAACCACATTCAAGCGATACTATATTTGTCTTACTCTCTCTCTCTCTCTCTCGCCTTTGTTGCTGTGAGCGCATCCAAAACGAATCTTGAAACGTCAAAATTGGGCATATGAAATGTCAACAAACGAAGGTTGCGTTCCGAATACCATACTTCGGTTTGGTTTCAATTTGCACAACAAAAACGACTTGCCAATCGTTCGAGCAAATTCTTATTTGGTTCTCTCTATTGAAACACCGCATTTTTGTGAGTTCTATCCTTTTTTAGGCTTATTTATTCCATTATGTTCAAGGTTTTGTACAATTATATTTAAATTTTTAGTTTGATATCTTTTCAATAGTTTCTTTTGTCTTCTCTCTTTTACATTTATTTAGTACATTGTTTTTAAATTAGCTGTCTATTTATAACATAGTTGGTTTTTATTTTCTTTATTTTTTTTTTAATTCTCTAATTAATCGTAAAATGAGAAGAATGCAAAAAAAATGAATTTAATTTCCCTTCCTCTCTAATTAGATAAATTCTTAAAGCTTTACAACGAGAAAACTAAGAATTTAGTCAGGTCATTTCTTTTTTATTCTTTGTGTAATCCATTCCAAACCTTGATATAGCCTGCAAATAGTGACAAAAAAAAATGCAATCAATTTTCATAAATGGCTCCGGTTAAATGGATGAGCACAATTAATTGCAAATGGTGTTTATTTACCCATCCCCGGTTAAAGCACAACACGATTGTATATGCCATTGATGTTTTTTAATTGATGTTAAGTCTAATTGACGTGATATTTCAGCTGCAGACATCGCGCCTTTTAAGTCCTGCAATTGCAATTGCAACGGAAGCGGAACAACCAAAAAAAGTGGGGAAAAAGAAGATTTTTTTTTGCTCGTATTAGTACTTGCGTGAATAATCGCGTGTATAAAATGATTGCACAATAAAAAAAGGCACTTACTTGTTTATTTGCGTATACCAGAAGACATGCTTTCGATAGATCTTCGTGTTGTAACAATGTATAAAGTTCTTCACGTGTCACAGCCAATCGTTCTCTGTCCGTCGAGTCGATAACCATTATAATAAACTGAAATAGAGCAATGAAACAAAAAAAATTATTAGTATTCGTTTGGGAATGTCAGCTCGAACGCACATATGTTTAAAATAAAGTTAACATCGATTTTCTTTTATGGCGGAACGAAATGATTGATTTAAGACAGCATAAAAATTGATTTTGTCGACCGTATAAAAAAAAAAACAATTCAAAATCACACATATACTAACCTCTGTATTCGTATAATATGTACTCCACGCCGTCCGTAAACTTTGCTGACCTGATTCAAGAAAACGAAGAAACATAACATTATTATCAATTTCATCTGTGTCGTGTATTCTACACTCGAAACTATCGTAACGAAAGTAGAAGTTCACTTGATTTGGAGCCAAATCAATGAAGAAAAAACAAACGACTGATGAATTTGATGTTTGAAAAAATTTAAAATTTATGTTCCAAAGACAAAAAAAGGAACAGCATGACTTACCTGCTAGATCCCATACTAAAAAATGGATATTTTTCCAAACGATTTCTTCGACATTTGAACCGATGGTTGGACTGGTGTGTACCACTTCGTTCATTAGAAATTGGTATAGAATTGTTGTCTTCCCCGCATTATCCAAGCCCACCATAACTAATTTGTGTTCTAAAGAGAGGAAAATGTGGAAGAGAGATAGAGGAAAAATGGAAGAAAAGTTCAATTAGCTGGATAAGTGGTGATGACACGAAAATATGTGTGCTTATTTAACAATAAAGTCAACAATTACTGTTTTTGTGTAACGAATGTTTGGTGGCAAAGTGCACCAATTGACACAAAATATACGGGGTCAATATCAACCCTTCATCGATTATTATTACTATCGTCGGCTCTCTTTTTTGTATCTACAAGTAATCACGAAAGGCTAAGCCCATTGATTATTGTTATTATTATTATAGACATATGTATGCTTTGAAGTGGGTGTTTGTATGTTCTCTGAAATGAACCAATTATTTCTACATGATTTGTCTAATTTCTACAACATTCGATCATTAAATAATATGTGGCCCCATTCATTGAAAGTTCATTTCACCGCCACATAAGTGGATTGCCATTAAAATGCGATCCGATTCTGGAAATTAACATTTTATATAATCCCCAGTGTGTGCATGTGTGTGTGTGTGTGCGTATGTTTGTATTCCATTCAATATTTGCCGTCAAATGGCTATCAACACACTATTGCAAAATATTGTGATTGAGCAACGCTGCTAATGGCAAGCAGAAAGAAGAGGAGAACGTTGAGTGGAAAAGAGAAAATGCTATTTTTGCGATGTTGACATAATAATAACCAGTTTAGATAAAAAGAGAAGCATGAACTGATATCAATATACAAACAGTGTGCAAGCTCCAATAGAGAGTGAGAGACTATAAAACTGATTTGAGATTAATCGGTTCGCATTTACAGTGATATTTTTGCAAGGTGATACTTTGCATACTGGTCTCTCGTAGAGGCGAGACACGATGCGGCGAGACGCTACTGAAAGGGAACAACAAGTTCGCATTCAAAATACGATCGGGCATTCAGCATTTCAATACCAAATCTTGATTTAAATCATTTAGTCAATTCGCTATTCATGCATTCGATTTTTTCGGAAGCAACATTTTCCATCTACAGCAAGCCATTTGAATAACATTAGTAAATGTCTTTCGTGCTTTCGTCTTGGAAAAGTTGATATTTCAGAATAGAAGCTACATAAATGACGTCTGAGTTTTGGTCATGAAACCTACGATTGGAAGCTGTAGAAATGGCAAGAACCTTTCAAGGCAAAAAGATTGATTGCACAGCTGCTCGAGAAACGTGCAAAAGGTGTGTGCACAATGATGACAAAAACTGGCAAAAAAAAAATTACACAAACAAAGACTCGTAGACTAAACACAAAGTGAACACTCATTTTTTGCTACCTGCCTCGCAGCCTGTGTATGTATGCGTTTCGTATGTTGCCAAGTGTTTGTTCAGTGCGCTTTCGTCAGATAAACGTAATAACGCAACGAAGAAAGGGAAATAAAGAAATTTGCGTGAATTTTTTCAACTGCCGTCACACCATCGCCGTTTGCCGTGTGCATTTGTATGCGGTTCACAGAAATAGCCAATGTGAAAGTGTGTCTTTGTTTCGGCCGATCGCTTAATTACAGCAAATATGCATGCGGTTGCTTTGCGAATCACAAAACTATCATATTATTATTTTCGGTACACAAACAATGTGATATGTGCCACATTTTTATTTAGAGTGTGGGAGATCAAGACAGTAACAATTTCCAATGCTAACTACTCTGTAGGTGCATATATTCAATAAGACTATGCTTTTTTTTTCTCGAGATTTTCAAATCACAAACGCGAATATTGAATCTATGAGAAATCCGCTTTGTGTTGAACAATCATCAAAATTTCAAGGTTTCTACCATAATAAAATGAAAAATTCAATGCGTGATTTTGTAGGCTCTCTCAACATTTCAAAGTCTTGCTTGCCATAAATCACACTCGAGATTTGTTATTCTTGATAATAAAGTGTACTCCATTCATAGAGCATGAAATGAGGCTCCTTTCGAAAGTGGTATGATTCTTTCGACATGCATGGAATGCGGGCCCATGTATGCATTTATTACGGCACATTTAATCACCAGCACCACATTATTTGGTAGCACCTCCGAAAAACTGGCGAAGCCTGAACGAAATGGAAAAATTCCAACTATGCATTTATGTGGCGCTGGAGAGACTTCGTGTGAAACCATTCTCACGCATAACACATTCGACGGCACGGCAATTCACTGAATTATAATGTGCTTCCATTTCATATGAATTTCGAACGATTTATTCACTGAATTAATCATCTAATAAAAGTCAACGGCATATCTGGGCTATTTTCTCACTGAATACGTGAGCAATATCGCAAGCTATGAAATACTCTCGTTGTGAGCAACAGCGCGCATTACTTGGATGTTTTCAGTGAAATCACCATCGACTACTGATAACACATTGGCGAAGAGCAATAGCCTCGGCAATGCGAACGATTCCATACCAAGAGTTGGTGCGTACGCAATTAACGAACATCAGACGAACTAATTTTAAAATAATTCAAGCGTTTGTTCGTATGGACAAAAATATAGAAAAACTAATACATTTCTATTTATCTACGTTTCGAAATTCCATGTGAGTTTTTGTACGCACAACAATTAACGAAAATACTGTCATACGGAAGACGGATATATACGTTTTGTTTGGATATCTTTATTGAATGTGAAGAAATTGGAAACACCGTATTGTCGTCGTCGTCAATTGAATACATTTGCGTCATTGATCATATGCCTGGAATATTTTTCCCGCTGCGTCAATTGTATAACGTCGCCTTTGATGATTAGAACGTAAATTGATATTCCAAATCGAAACACCATCGATACATACCTTCATTACCGAATAGGCTCCATAATTTTCCAAATAATAATCCCATTTTGAATGAGTATTTGATTTATATTTTTTGATTAAATAACACAAATGGTAACTGAATGTAGCACGCGTTATCTTTGGCGATCAATATGAACTGGCCGCCACCAAAATGGTTAATTTTGGTCGTTTGAAATAATCGAAAAACGTTTAAAGCTCGAACATAAAGTGAAGTTGATATTTACACTATGAAAAAATTCACTAAAAGCACGTTTAAAACTCAAGTTGTACATATGAAGCCCGACGCACTAAAACATGCCACTCATTCTCAACAGCCCACTAATTAGTTTAATTTAACGTTGTTTTGGTTTTCAAAGTTTTTTGTTATTCGCTTCTTGTTTTTGCGTCAATGTGTCTATTGTTGTTCTGCTTATTTTGCAATTGCTGTCATTTATTGACTTTGTAATCACGGTACTATCGTTTTCCCAACAAAAAAAAACCACAACACCAAAAAGTAAACACAGTCAGTGATTTCATTCATTCACGTTTTGCATTCGGTTTGTCCGTAACTTAAGCATTTATCGCATAATCTGTTCTCATTCTGATCGCTATTTTGCCATACGGAAGCATTCACACACTCAGTATTTCGTATTTTGTTGATTTATTAGCTGTTTTGCATCGTTTCTACATTTATTATTTTGTTTATTCATTCGACCAAAGCCGTGATAATTGAATTATTCGCATCTCTTTTTGGGGCTGCTTTGCTGGAATGATGTGTAATATTTTTTATGTGTCACATATATGATTTTGAGGGAAAATTCAGCATTATTAGATTAAATTGGTAAAAACCACTTGTCTGGAAATGAATAGCCACACTTGAAAGACATATGCACTTCTTTTTTTTTGCTTGAATACGATACTTTGCCCGAAATCTCTCGCTACACAATTAATAATTAAAGAAGCTGAAATTAAGCGGACGAAACACAAGACGATCTGAGATATGATTCAAGATTGTACAAGGCAAACACGCAACGGGAAATATTCGTCGTATTATTACAGCAATTGCACGAATTTTCTCGTCAGGAACAAGACGAATTCAATGTATTTTAATTTGTTCCGTTTTCGTCTCACAATGTTTCTTTTTTTTCTTTTGTTTGTTCGACGTTTTCACAGTCAATTCACAAGATTTAATCCACTTCGAGGTGCCTTTCTCACTTGTGTCGTCTCGTTTTGATGAAATTCGTTTGCTGATTGAAATTGATTTTTTGTAAGCGTTTAATGAAATATCTTCACTCACTCACCGAATGTGCCACACACTGTATTACAACACGAATCTCTGTTTGCTCTCGCTCTCTTTTCACAAATTCGTTCGCTGAAAGTCTGCTGTTCTACATTGCACGAGAAAGACGGAGAGAGAAAGAGTGAATGCCTTGGATGTGTATGTGTGTGCGTATGTTTTTGACTTTCTCTCTCTCTCTCTATCTCTCTGTATTTTTCGCCATTTTTGAGCAAATTGTAGCTTTACTGTCACTGCGTGCTACTACTGAGTCACTCAATATATCTGAATTTTTGTATGTGTGTGTGAGAGAGAAAAGAGAGTCATTCGATGTATTACTCATTCAGTTTGACATTTATCAAATTTGACTCCCGCTCATTTTTTTTTTAAATTGACATTGGTTCGGTGGGTCGAAAAACGGAATCTTTCATCATTTTAAGAAAAAAAAAATGGTTTTTAATTTCTAATATTTGTGAAATTGTTCAAAATTGTTTTATATGTCACTTCCATGGAAATCAGCTCAACGTTTTGACATTTGAAATGCGAACGCACCCTTACGATAGTTGACTGTTGAATGATTGTCAACAATTGCATACTGTCAGCAGCAATGAAAGCAATGGTATCCAGTTCAATTGTCGCTTATCAACTCGATTGCAAATCATAATGTTTCCGTGTCGTGATAAATGAAATTGGAAATGGATCTGTGCTAAATTGTGAAGCTTACGCGGCAATTTGAAGGGAGATTTCGAAGCGGTCAAATATGAGAATATGGTAAAATATTTCTAACGGAGTTTTTCTCTCTACTCGACACTAAACAACACTTGAATTCGAATAATTATAGCATGGCTTCCGATTTTTTCTACCCAAACAATGGAGGTGTGGAAGAGCACATTTTTAATTTATCACAATGTCTTTTGAAAAATGGACACAAAGTTATTTTAATTACCCATTCGTATGGCGACCGAAAAGGAATTCGATACATGACTGGTGGACTTAAAGTTTACTATTTGCCGATTCACACCTTTTACAACCAATGCATTTTACCCACAATGATGTGCAACATTCCATTGCTGCGATACATTTTAATTCGGGAACAAATCGAAATCGTCCACGGTCATTCGGCCTTCAGTGCTCTGGCCCATGAAGTTATGTTTGTAGGAAAACTGATGGGATTGAGAGTGCGTATAATTCAATTTCAGTGAATTTCATTTTGTTCAACTGTCATTTCAAATAAAAGTATTGTCAATTTTCAGATGGTCTTCACTGATCACAGTCTCTTCGGTTTTGCTGATTTGTCCGCTGTAGTTACCAATAAATTACTTGAAATCACATTATCCACTGTCAATCACTGCATTTGTGTGTCCCATACGGGGAAAGAAAATACGGTACTTCGAGCTAAAGTTTCAAAAGAAAAAGTTTCTGTTATTCCAAATGCCGTTGACACTGCCTTCTTCACGCCAGATCCAACGAAGAGATCAAACGATATCAATCAAGGTAACTTCAATTGGAAGCTATCAAGAAAATATCCCTTCTTACGAGTTTGTTTCATTGCAGTTACCATAGTGATAGTTTCACGTCTTGTGTATCGAAAGGGTGTTGATCTAATGGCCGGAGTCATATCCAGATTGGCAAATAGGAAGGATGTAAATTTTATTATTGCGGGCGATGGCCCGAAGCGAACGGCCTTGGAAGAAGTTCGCGAAAAGCATAATATTCAAGATAGAGTTACATTGCTCGGTGCTATGGAGCACTCTAAGGTTAGGGCTTATAATAAATAGTAGAACAGTACATGGAATTGTAAAATTGATTTTATTCAAATCAAACATTCAAACCTTCTTGTTCTAGGTTCGTGAGGTACTTCGAAGTGGTCATATTTTTTTGAATACATCACTAACCGAAGCCTATTGCATGGCAATCGTCGAAGCGGCATCATGTGGATTGCAAGTAGTGTCAACGAAAGTTGGTGGCATTCCCGAAGGTAAATTCAACATATGAACGTTTTGTTTTTGTAGTGGAAACGATTCCATTCACACGAAACTTTCTTTTTTCAGTTCTTCCACCAGATTTGATTCATCTCACCGAAGCCACAGTAGATGCATTGTATAAGGGATTACTAATGGCTATCCAAAAATTGCAAAATGAAAGAAAAAATGTTGAAACTTGTTGTAAAAATCACTCGGCCAATAATGGTACTCACCATGAAGGGACAAACAACATGAAAAAATGTGAAAAGAATGGAATTGGTGAACCGCAAGCGAAAAAAAGAGTTCTTTGTCCGTACGAATGTAACGAAATTTTGCGAGATTTGTATAATTGGAATGATATAACTGAGCGTACAGAACGCGTTTACAAAAGAGTATTGAAAGAGAAGGATCCACAATTTGGAGCCAAACTAAATTGTTATCTAAGTGCATGTATTCCGTTCGTCCTAGTCGTTTCGTTTTCGTATTTGTTTTTAAAAATTTTAGATATAATCGAACCAAGGAGAAGCATTGATTTAGCTATTGAATCACACAGTAACACTCATTGTCAACGTAAAAGAAAGAAGCATGTATAAATTTTACAAAAAAAAATAAAACAAAAATCTTCTGTCTTCAGAATGTTAATTAGTGTAAATTTTATTAGTTAAACGAATTTTTTTGTCACATATTTTGTAAATAAAACTGATTTTTTGGAATTGCGTTTTATGCTTTCCTCAGATTTTATTCACAAATTATTTTCAACGAAGCCCAAAAGAAAACAAACATATTCTTCTAAATACCCGTAGATGCGAACGAAAGATGAATACAAGTAGTGCTCAAGTTACATGAACTCGAACTGACGCCACATCTGCATTCGAAGGGGAACATGAGTACTTCCCAGAATCAGCTAGATCCGCTTTTTGAATTAATAGATGAGATATTGTAACCTCTGCCTTCTCAGTGATGACCGAAACACCTGAAAAAATAAATATTCGTTAAAATAAACTATAAATAAGCAATAAATAAATAATACTCAAGGTACCTCCTCGCTGAGAGTCAAAACTTATCACTTCATCCTGGTGATACCAAAAGATATAAGCTGGCGGTTCTGTGCTATAATTTATCGTGCACGTGATGTTGATCATATTTCCTTTGGAAACAAATATTTCCGGAGCACCCCATATTACAGCAGTAGGCACTGTAATTGTGTGTAGCCACGCATTGATTAATACGTTTTGAACTAAGTTGCGATATTTGTACAGAAAAACTCACCAACTACATCTAAATGCACAAATAAACTTCGAACTGGTTGTGAAGAAATCTGGCATTCATATAATCCTGCATCTCTAATCGATGCCCATTTTATTTCCATTACACTTTCACCCGAGTCTTTATTGTACGTTGCCTGGAAGCGTTGATCTGTTGTATATGTGTAGCTGCCAACCGTTAAAATGTGAATGTCTCGATGTCGAATCCATGCCAACTAATTACCGAGGAAATTAATTGTTCAGTGTTCAAAAGTCGTATCCATATTTGGTAAATTTAACCAAAAAAAAATTTGATTCAATTTATTACGGTTTTGTTTGCTAAATTCTTCGCTTTACAACGCAGAAATGCTGACTTCCCAACGATCGCAGTCACATTATGTGGAATGTTTGCATCAAAATACGGGCCAATTATCTCTGCACCATCAATTATTTCGGTTGTTTCATCCTGGCCTCGTATACCACAAATCAACTCTTTCGATATGAATGATTAAAACTGGTTCACATGTCTTCGTGTTGTTTATTTAAATGTTCATTTTTAACTTACCATAGCTTAAAGCCACAAAAATGACAAACGAAAGTACAAATCGAGCTGGCATTCCAATTTTAATTACATCACACGATTTAAGAATATTATTTTGTATTTCTAATGCCTTAGTATGTGTTTTAGTACAATTCGCATATTTTCAGCAGCTTATACAGAATATTAGAATTTTAAAAGTTTCCACAAAAAGTAGGATTTCAAAAAGATTTACTAGTTCAATTCATACAAATTGTGTGTAAGAGTTGAAACCTAACTTTTGTCAAGCAAAATAATTTTGACGTTTATTGACTGCTGAAGATGCAGCGAGACGATGCGACAATAGTCAAATACATTCTCCTGAAAAAAAAACAGGAGAGCGATTTGCATTCCGGTCGTCATGGCAACCAATGGTTTCATGAAAAAGTGAATGCGATGCACATCACCTGATCGTACTGTACTGTCAAGGCCACTGAAAATTGAAGGACAAGTAAACTAAACGGCAAATCATTTGTATAACATCGGTTTTATTGTTTTTTTATCGGTTTGATTAGCTATTTTGGTTGGCTACAGTCTAAGTGTCAGATTAAAATTATTAGCCGCATGAGCTCGAGCACTCGCGTGTAAACTTTTAACCTCTTTGTTCGTTCTTTTTCGACCTAATTTATACTCGACTCTTATGTTTATAACGTATGTGTCCAATTTAGGGTTGAAGAATGTATCATAAACTTCGACCTGTTAAGTACAAAAAAAGAAAACTTATTAATTATTGGAGAAAAAAAAACCAGCAATTGATTTGATATAGAATTACCGTTTTCGCAGCATTTTCCGTGTTTTGAAGGATAAATTTACACAATTCGTCCATTGGAAACGATTCCAGGTCAACACTCTGTGGTAGAATATACGAAATGTGCATTTCACATTTTGTATTTTTGTTTTTAATAACATTATCTTCCTCTTTCATCAATGGTCTTTGTAGAACATTTTTTAGGGCATCCTTTTCGGTTGACTTTGCTAGTTTAGCATGTAGTTTCTCCGAGATTTGTTGCGGTTGGAATTGGTTCAAAAACCGATGATCAGCGTTCCATAGGAGTCGAATATCGAAAATATTGTATAGAATCATTGCCAATCGATCTAGGCCGATGCCAACTTCCCATCCAGCGATGTTTGGTCGTTCACTTTTTTCAAATATTTCATTTCTAATAAGACCACCGCCGGAAATTCGGTGCCATTCATCTCGATGCCAAATTTCAAACATCCACGATGGTTGTGTTGTAGCTAGATTCGCATCAGTCCAACGATACTTTACATCTGTGCCAAGTAAATGCCTTATCAATTCAACCAGAGCTGCTTGTTGCTCTTCTTTCAAATATTTTCCCATTTCAGCTGGTTGAGTTTCCGTTCGCTGGAGGAGATTTCCACAATTTTCTGAACGGATCACATTTAATCGGTGAAATATTGGAAAATGCGACCAATTCATTTGACAACGACGATGCAAATCAAGAATCATTACAAAATTATCTACACCCATTTTTAAACATTTCAGCTCCTGGTTTATGGTATGTGTTCGCAAAATCAAATCTCTGTTTACATAAAAAGCATTGGGCAATTTGTCGGGCGATTCATTTGCTTCGATTGGACCAATATTTTTATACACTGGAAGGTCTAAGCTGTCGTCTACATTTTTGTTAAACCATTTCTTAAAGAATGTCACTACTTCTTCCTGTGTCAGTCTCAACGGATGATTATACTTTTTGTAAAGATTGGCTCCAATAAACGGTTCCAAACGCTGGTTGATATTCGTCCAATTATCCGTGCGGTAAGTAGTTTTCTGAATGATCAAGCTTTCTTTCACAGAAGATGAACAGAAGCGTACACGATTCACCAATTTTTCTATTATTTTCCGTTTTATCAACATTTTGTGCCGACAATAACGATTTCACAGATCATTCCACAATAGCACCAATAATAGCAATGATATTTGAGGTTAGGTTGTGTGATGAATTGATGGAAATGTCAAAAATCAGCTGAAATCAAATCTCAAGTCATGCCGTTTTTTTTTTAGTTTAAATATTTATTTATTTATTCGATTAATTGTGTTACACATAAAAATCTGCTGAAGGGTGACTTGACTTTTCTCTTTGACTGTGAATCCATTATTTTTGATTGTTTCCATTGTAATTATCAGCAAAATGTCTCTATTGCATATTTATTGAGTTTCAACGTCTTTTTCTTATAGGAATAAGTTATAAATACATTTCGAATTGACTGCATATTTCACTGAATAAAGCTATGCACTGTGCATCGACAATATCTCCAGAGCTCAGCCAGTCTGTGATGAGAAATATGTTGCATTTTGAATAATAAAAAGATGAAGCTTCAATTCGTCTATTCACAACAATATCATTTACCTACCGCATTCTTTAAAATTAAAATTAGATTCAACGTCGACCAAATAATTCGGTTCTACATATTTAGATTGACGTTTACGCTTATGTGAAATGCTTGCGACACAACATAAATTCCCAATGCCACAACTAAAAATCGAAATATCGAACAATTTACTATCCAAATTTTATGAAACAAAAACAAAAAAATCTGAAGATTTTCAATAAATTCTTCGTCATTGTTTACTCACTCAAAAACACGAAAAAGCAGAAACAGTAGCAACAGCAAGACATCTTGATAGTAACTATTCAATTCATTTTTCAAGAAAATTAAATAAAACTGCAATGTAAATTCAACTATTGAAAAGTGTGCCATAGACCCTAAGGTTATCTCTATATTTCGAGTTAGTAAAAGTCATGTTGAATTGTGTTTTTTTCCTCATTTATTTCAACATAAATTCCTATGATTACGATTAGGAGCTATAGTGCTTTGACCCACAGCTTAAAACTAAATACGATGTGTTACATTGAATTCCTTTTTAACTTCATCTCTGATTTGCCCATGCACAACATTCACTTCATCTTTCGTTAGGTCTCGCTCCATATGACGATAGATAATTCGGAAACACAAACTATTTTTCTTCTCTTTCGAATGGAAAAATCTGTCGATTATTTTGACCTGATAATAAAAATAGTAAACATAATAATTAGTTTATCAATTTGTAAGCAGCGGTCTTTTCTATGTACTTGTACTTACTTGTTCTACGAGATCGCCTCCGGCTTCGCGTACGAGTGCATAAAAGCTATTGACTGGGAAATTGTCTAGTGTATATGTGTCTGGGAGCCAAAATGACACATCCATATAGCATTGATTGTATTTTGAAACCGGTTTGTATTGCATTTCGGCCGTTGTTCTCGACTCGTCGAACTGAGAAAGGAAACCGCTATCAGTACTCCAGAACAGTCGAATATCGGGAATATTATACAGAATCATTGCCAATCGTTCGAGTCCAATTCCAAATGCCCATCCAATTGAATTGGAAATGCCACTTTTTTCTAATATTTCATTGCGTATGATGCCAGCTCCTAAAACCTCTAGCCATTGATTATTGTACCAAATTTCCAGCTCAAACGATGGTTGCGTGAATGGAAAGTATGCATCGACCCATCGATATTTGATCTTATCACCGAACAAATGTTTCACAAGGCCAACAAGTACTGTTTTCAATTCATGTTCGGCTAGTTTAACCGCTTCGAGTGTGTGGCACGGTTGTTTTCCAGCTTCTGCGACTTTTCCGTTTGCATCGTTTGTTATGATTGATTCACTGTTGGTCACATAATTCGGTTCGAAAATTTCCAAATCTTCGTGATTGGCAAACAATTTGTCTCGTCTAATCGTGCGAACAGCATCCACTTGATGGAAAACTGGGAAATGTGTTGAATCGATTTCATCACGACGATACACATCGCCAATCACAAGAAAATTATCCAATCCCGATTTTAGCAAATCCAATTGATGAGCGGTGCAATGAGCGCGCAGCATAAAATTTCGATTCAAATAAAAACTGTCCGTCTTTTTGCGACTGACATGATTGGCCGGAATCAACAAACTATCGAAGTTCTGTTCAAGCGTCACGATTGGACTTAAATTATCCACTACACTGAACAACGGACTGCCCCGATTGGTAACGAATGATTTGTAGAAGTGGTCGACAATCTTCTTGCGTATGATTGAGAGCGGGTGGTGGTCTTGTAGGTAGATATTACGGTTCATGTAAGATTGAATCCGAGGCTTTAGATTCGTCCAATCATCACGCTTATATTTCGCATTGTTGACAATCAGCGGCTCTTGCACTTTTAACGGTTTTGCTGTTGAACTAAAATATCGGCATTTGAGCAGTGCCGGATTCACGATAAACACTCTCCGCAAAATCATTGCGAATTTCAGTCAGAAACCACTGTTTATCAAAACTTTGTTTTTCTTACTATTTGTGAGGTTATGTGCCAGTTTGACTTGACAAACACTGTCAAATGGAATAGAATACTACGCACGTAGTTTCAAACATTTTTCACATTCGTTTTTACTAACATTGTATGCATTCAAGTTTGAACCTATTGTCAAAAGCATCCAAAACGGTAAAGTCATCGGGACATGTTGCCGAAATTCAATTCAAACTTTATGTCAAAGTATGGAAAAAGAAATGCACGTTTCATTTGTGTTATTTAAACTGAAAATTTCTTTATGTAATTTTTGAAACACGATTTTTTTTATATCAATGACAATGAATGAAATAAATACCCTATCCGTATGACGATTCTTTTGATACAATTCAACTAAACTTAAATTTATTCCCTGTAGATTTCTTATACAATTCTTATATTTTACATGATTGATTTAATTTTGTGTGTGTATGTGTTTTAGTCTTCTTTCCATCATTTATATGCTATCAAATGCTTCGATTTCAATTACGCACTTCGACATTCTCCACATTTGCCGTTCCGTTTTGTGCAATCGTTACTTCAATATTTTGTCGTTTCTTGAAGCAGGCGCCCTTAACACACCAGCAGCAACATTTTAGGCAATGGCACTTGAGAATACAATATTTTATTGACAATATCCATATGCAGAATAGCACAATCGCTGAAATTTCAATGTAGTCCCAAGTGGTAAGCGGCTTCCATTTGAAAAGCTGTTTTCTCACCTCAAATCCAACGGCACCAATTGCTAGTCGATTCAATATCATATGCAGTTTGTTCAAAATGGATTGCAGTCTTCCGACATCTTCAGTGGCTTCCTCAGCTTCATCCATATCTCCGATTGGATATTCTTCTGGTTGGTTTCGTTGAGCACATTTGGTGCAACATTTCACGCAACATGTTATGCAAAAGCGATTCAAACAGCAACATTTCACAATCCATATAAATACGCAAAGTGCTAGTACAATGAAAAATTCCACAAACGTCCCAACATCTTTCTTTTCGTCGGAAGTTATTTTGCTCACTTCGTATCCAGCTGCCAATGTTATTAACAAGTCGAGTACGTTCGTTGCAATTCTTAAGGAAAATTTCCAAACACCATCTTCGACATTTTTCTGAATGTAACTGCGTAAGTAAGCCCGCGTTTGTAGACTTGGCATGTTAAATGAGCGGTGATTACACGTAGAACTTCGAGTGTTGTTGAATATGATGCGTCCGATGGTGTTTGCGCACAATTTTGTTTGCGTCGTTCGATCGCCGATTCAATTTTGAGTTACAATACAATTTTGATACAACACATAAAATATCGACAAACAGTTAACTGCGTTTTTAACAGAAAATGTGGGCGATGTTGCCACAAGCAATGACCGAACGCAAATGATGATTTGTATAGTTTATGTATACATCGAAAGAAATTAACCGAATGTCATTAAATGTATGCGATCTGTCAAAATGTGATGCTAATGTGTTGACCGCTGGAGATGTGAGGCAGTATAAAGTATAGTACGCAATTTTTTTTCAACAGATTTTACCGCTTGCGAATTGAATAAATTGTGTACAGGTTTTGTGAATACAGAAATATGCACAAATTTGTGCAAAATTGAAAACGAAAGAATAATTCATTTTAATGCCTTAGGTAGACGGAAAATCTCATAAATATAGAGGCACAATCTCTCTTTAAACTTATTGCGTTCAAGCAGTTTGCCGTATTCAACGTTGCATACAAATGTCATTGTATTCAAATTTGCACACGAATAAAACATAAGAATACCGTATACACTGCATAAGCACACGGTTGATTAATAGCGCGGACATTGCAAGTTCTATTTAAAATAACCAAATTTTGGTAATCTTTTTGGCATGAATATTTATAGGTAACTTTAGATGGTCGTTCTTTGATTCCATAATCTGTCTAAAATGTATATAAACAAAGGAACTGTTCAATAAAGTTAGGTTCTTCGTCAAGTACTCATAAACCATCATTTACTTTTGTTAGTCATCATATCAGATGTAGATTGTTGCATCTATGCGCGATAAAATTGACATGCGATTATAAATATCTACGGAAATTATGAACCGAAAAACGAACGCATGATATATACCAAAAAAATTCTCAAATTAACGATTGCTTTTGCGTTTTGCAAAACATGTTGACTGTTTTTTTTTTAACATTTAATAGGTAATTGACCAATTTGTTTCAGCCAAACCTAAGGTATCTGACTTTATACAGAAGAAAAGCAATTCGAATGCAATTTATCAAATCCAATGGGGTTAAATGGTAAAAAAAAGAGTGTTTTTGTATCACTCAGTCATGTGGTGTTCAATGTTACAAGTACCAACAATTTTGTGTTAATTTTGAATAAAGTGTCATCATAAATAACAGATTATGTGCGGTGATCTTGATCACATGCAAAATCATTGAGTCAACACATTTTTTTTGCTGTTGTTATTTTGACCAATAATAATATAAATTTGTTTTTCTCGATTCGCATTGATTTGAGTCTGGAAATTCCATAAATAACGATAATTTGATGAATCCATCAATCCATGTCGTAAACTCGCTGATTCTTGTGAAACCATCTGGAAATCCTCTGGCACAAGGTAGTCCCCAAGATGAAATGCCAATAATCCTATTTTCATGAATTAATGCGCCACCGCTGTCTCCTTTACAAATTCCTGTTCCCGGTCCCGAATATGCGCACAATGTAATATTATCTTTGATGGGTGCTTGAGCTATTGATCGTCTGCGACATTCATCATTGGATATGGTTTTCATTCGAGCAAATTTTAAACCTGTGTATTTATCCTTGAAACAAAATTTAAAACACATCAATTTTTTATTCTCTTTCATTTTCTTCTTTTTTTCTTAATTAATTACATCAGATTCACCCCAACCCACTGCAATGGCTGTCTGGTTTTCCCCAACGAAATTTCGATCAATTTTAATAATTTTCGCATTTTTATTCAGACGTATCGGATCGTTCATTTGCACTAAAGCGATGTCGTTTGCTTTATGGAGGGCTTCATAGTTTGGGTGTATAATAAATCGTTCTATGCTGTACAGTACACCTTGATCTGCTCGCATATGTGCACCAACTGCTATTCGATAATCGCCTATTTCCAGTTTGGAATGATAACAATGTGCAGCTGTTAACACAAAACGATCGGATATTATTGATGCGCCACAATCATGGACATATATCCCATTTTCTAATTTACGCAGCGACACCGAAAATGGAAATTGATTTTTTGTTGCCTTTTCACCTCCAAAAATGTATGAATTGATCACAAAAGCCAACAATCCAGAAACAAAGAACAAAACCAGTACAATCGAATACATGATTGTCAAGTGATCAAAATAAGACTGATGTCAATTCCAGCCAGAGTTCAACAGTAGTCAATCAATAAATATCTTATAATCTTAGCTGAATCAAAATATTCACAATGAATACAAATGAAGTTATCGAAAGAAGGTTATCAGAAAGTGAATTATTTCGGCAATAAAAATGACCTTTTTAATTGGGTTTTTTTTTTAATTCATTCAAAAATGAACATTTTCAACGATAATAGCATTTTCCAAATTGATTTTTTGCATCGTTTCGTCAATCCATTTTGCAAACTCATTACTGCGTGTAAATCCATCAGGATATCCAAGAGCACATTGCATTGCCCATGATGCAATGCCAATCGATGTCGCCAGCACATAATCCCGTTCCATCCATCTCCCATCCAGCCATGACTGCTTTTACTTCACCTTCAATGAAATCACGTTCAATTTCTAGCGTCGACACATTTTCATTTAATGGAAGTGGTTCTTTCAGCTCCACTAAGGCAATCATTTATCATGGCACGAACATCAAAATCTGGATGCCTGGTAATTTGTTTCACGGGATAGATTCTTCCTTCATCTGTTTGTAATTTCGGTCCTACCAAAATGTAATAGTCGTTTCCGATAAATGCCGGATAAAAGGGCCGGATAAATAAATTAAAAGTATTGAAACGGTAGTATATTGCGGAGTCAAAGCCATTTTTTAGCTGAAGAATTCAATATGTTTTGACAAAATGTGTTGAATTCTTCAGCTAAATCTAATCTAATTGCTGAGATCAATTGGTTTGTTATAAATCAAATTGATTAAGGCAAGTGGCAACAATTTAAGTTGTCATTGCAAATCACGAAATGAACAAAGTGTTTTTTATGACATAAAAAAGTTTCAGTGAGAAAGCCATAATTCTTTGGAATTTTAATCAACGTTTGAAGGCACTTAAAATTGCGGTGAAAAGTCAGTGACTTTGAGTCACGTATCTCTGGTATTTTGTTTACAATTTCATCAATCCACGGCGTTAATTTACTGATTTTGGCAATACCTAATTAAGTTGATTTACCACGTTTACAACACGACAATGTTCGATATGGTAAAACAGTGAAATAAAATCATTTCGAAACCAATTATCATGTAGAGATATTGAAAATAGCAACAATATTTTATTATCATTATTTTCCAAATGGTTCAATGTTCACTTATTAGATATGCAAAAGAGCGACAAAAGGTCACTAATAAACTATATATCGTATCGGTCACAATGCATTCTATGATTTGTTCATGATTGAATCAATCCATAACGCAAATTCGCTGATGCGAGTGAAACCATTCTCGCAACCTCTTGTCCAGGAAGCGACACCAATCAATTTGTTATTGTTAGTCTGTACTAAAGGATCTCCTCCGTCACCAAAGCATAGCCCAACTTTTCCTGACGTTGAATGTGCGCATACAGTGTTGTAATAATTGACGGGTGATTTAGGTGGTGCACGTCTACTGCATTCATCATAAGTAATCGTTGTCATTTTTGCATATTTCAAACCCAGGTCCTACGTAGAAGAAAAAAGATAATCTTGTGATAATTTGAAATAGAAAAGCATATACTAAATAAACCTCATTTTTGCCCCAGCCAGCAACCACAGCATCTACATTTCCATCAAAGAATTCGCGGTTTATTTCGATAGTCGATGTATTTTGACCCAAGTTTTTTATCGGTTCTTCCAATTGTATCATAGCAATGTCGTTATTTAGTTTGGCGAATGGCGTTGCAGTATAATTTGGATGCACGAAGATTTGCTTCACCCAATATTTTTCTTCTTTATTTGAATGTGCACCAACCACAATTTGATGAATATGTGGCTTGATGAAATGCGGACAACAATGCGCCGCTGTCACCAAAAAGCGGTCGGATAAAATAGACGCTGCGCACATGTGATCGAAGCTCCATTTTCCATACACTCGTAAAGACGTCAAAAATGGAAACTGACTTTCCGATGCTTCATCACCTCCGATAATATACGGGTCACTTATAACCGCTGCTAATGATCCAGATAAAAAAAGCAAAAATGCATACAGTTTTACCATACTGAAAATACGGTCGATAGTTTTAGCAAACAAAATGAACATTGAGCCAACTTGATGCAAAACACCGCAATATATACGAGGCAGAACAATCTAATCTAAATTCTGATGTCAAAAAATTTATTGATGTTTTCTACACCTCGTGGAATGAAATGAACGAAAATATTTTTATTAATGCTATATTTATTATATATTGATAATGTCTTCTATAGAGGTCGATTGCTGATTGCTGAAACAATTTTTAAACAATGTAATAAAAATATTCGTTTCATTAATCGGCCATCGGTGTGATTCAAGTTTATGATATTTACAATAAAAATATTTCAATATCATGTCATGGTTCACACTGTTTCCATGGCACCAACGATGGAAATTGGTCTTCCACTATCGTAGGAACTCATTCCGAACTTCGCAGGAGGAATTCCACATAATGTTATGTTTTCTTTACGCAATGGAACATAGCCAAAGTTTTTTCGACATTCCGACGATGACGTTATTGGTTATTGTCAACATTTTTAAGGTATTTTAACATTTCTTTTCTCAATTTATACCTAAAAATCACAGTAGAGATTTTATTTTAAATAAAATCTCATTGCACAAATGTTTCAAATTCAAGTGTCACACAAATGCACGAAATTCTCGAAGAATGGCCGTAATAAGTGTTCTTTTTCAATTCAAACTCAATCAATTTCAAGAGATTTTGAATAGAAGGAAAATAATCACCTCCGGCGTGATTAATTCAAAATAAAAACTCGATTTTTAACTAAATAGTGTAAACACAATGTAAGTTATGAAATTGTGCCACTTCACTGAAATGACAATTGACTCCACACAAACTGCATTCAGCTGTGTTTAAAATTACCATGGCAATTGGATTGAACAAAATATTCTTATTTTTTTAAATGTCCAAAATTACCATCAAAAGCAGCTCTATGCAGAGCTGTCTTTCCATTTATGTCTTTTTCGTTTACTAAAATATGTATGAAAAGTTTAGCATAAATGAGGTTCCCATATCTTCGTTACAACGTGCTTTGTATATGGAATTCAAGAGTTAAACTGGATAAATAAATGAAACTTCAATCTTACCGTTCCGAAACTTCAAAA